CAGATGTCACCTTTGAATGTATTTAGAGCCAGTGCTACTAAAAATAACCAATAATACACAAAGATGATAGTGAGTTTGTACGTTTTTGACCAAATATCATAGACAAAATATGTGTACTTTGGACAACGATCCAAAAGCAATGAAAATTATGCTCACTCTAAATCTGATGTCAGCGATATTCGTTACATACTTTTATTCGTCCACTCTTAGTGCCTTTATTTCACGTGAGTTTAACATGTTTTTGAGCAATCATTGACAACAAACAAGGAAGTACTGGTAAGTTATGAGATAAACAAAATGTCATTTATCTTTCCGAACACCATATTTCTGTCACCACTTTCTAAATGTTTACATTATGGTAGACTTTTTAGTTCTTTCGAATGACTTATCTATTAAAAGGAATTTAGTTCAGGTAATCACCCGATAGTTTTTACACCAAAATGACTTAACTTCATCAGTCTCAAAGATTACCTGTTATGCTACTCGTTCTTTTCTCCTTTCTTCATTTTTTTCAGCACAGTTGTGACGCACCACTAAAAACACAAAAGTAGTGCGTATGATTTTGTCCTACACCTTAATGAATACCTCCTATAATTCTGAAAAAATTATGCTTATTTTCACTGGAAGCTTATTAAGTTTGTCACCTGGAAAATACTGTCGTAAATTAAAAAATAATACTTTAAAGCTGACGTTTTTAACTGAACAGTTATAAGTTTACGGCAATATTTCTCGCTATTAATAACTCTGGACTTCACTTGGATTGATTCCCTAAAATCAGTTTTTCGTCCTAACGCAGACCCCGCAAAGCGCCAAATTCGACACTACAAGTTTGAGTTTTTCTGACATAATACATACTCAAGTGTACGAAACTGTATTCCTTTGTTTTCATGTCCGATGTGTCCTGCGGTGCATCAACCCAACCCAATAACTCATTGCCATAAATCTTTTAAAATTTGCAACACTTAGGCTATCACTGTAAACTGGCATGTGTTGCGTGATATATATCGTTATCTAACAATCAATTACTATTTAAGCCTGTATTAGTATAAGACTTTCTTAAGGAAACAGCGAATAGACTATAAGTTCATGATCGAATCATTCGTACCAAAACATATCAAGTGACAGAATTCTCGTTCAACTTAGCCAGTTTTAATTTGATAAAATATTTCAAACGGTACATCTGTGTAATACAGTGAAAAGTTGATTCACTAAAAAGTAGCGAAATATTCAAGAAAAGAATGATTGTAAAGACGTTTTAGCTGCTTGAAAATCAATAGGAGTAGTCCCGACAAAAGTGATCAATAATCTAACTGCAGTTGTTTCGATAACCGTTCCCAACAGGCAAGAAATCCGAACTATTCCGTAGCCTTGTAACTGATCAAACGCGACCTTATTTCCACTGACTCGTAATTAAACACTAAAAGCTTAATCACAATACATTGATAAATGTACAACCATAGCTACAGGAGCCTTACGTAAAGGTTAAAATACAATAAATGTTCAGAGATGAGATTACTACCTTATTTTCGGGTTATGAGGTTTTGAGGATCACTATTTTCAACAGTTTGTCATACGTTCACTTCCCTAATTAGTGAACTTAAAACGTAGATCTGTGACATATATCGTTTCAGTATTTTTTGGTGAAAATAAGCGGCGGAAGAATTTCTGGCGATAATGAAGTACCCTGCGTTGAAATGATGTAAGACATACAAACGTGTGAATACATCCAATGACTACATCATGAACTTGATCATGCCTTAGAATAAACGTTCACGGCTTAATAATTATCGGTCGATGTACAAAATAGTTTGAAGTGGAATGCAAATCAAGTTTACGCTAACATATTAGCGACTCCGATAAGCCGTTATCCGACACAAATAAGTGAGTACCAATCCACATTAGTAATACTACGGTAAAAGCTAGAAGAAAAGTCCCCACAGAAAATAAACAATTTAAAAACCACGGCCTAGTTGAAAAAATTCAGAGTCCGTAAAAAGGACACAATCAATACAGTCAGTACTATCAAGAAACGAATTCAGAAAAAGAATATATTGTAAGGTTTACTAAATTAATGATTATGGGTATAAGTGGAATCGAAGTAAAATGTTTGCTGATTGCATCTACTCAGAATGAATTACTGGTTCTGTATGCACAAAAAAACATCATTTTAATCTCTTCAATTAAAAAAGCATTGCAAAAACCTCGTTTTTGAGCCTAAGCATGCTGATATGTCAAAGGTAGTTTGTACTTATCATGATGTGAAAAATGTTAGAACATTTCAATGTACGTAGCCTTGTTTAACTACTCTCAAAATCCCAACACATGACCAAAATGTCGTTATCATCAAAACTCACAAGTATTTCGAAAGAATTGTCTACTCGAGATACTCAATGTCCATTGACCGGACACCACCAGCAACAACCTACTGTGGGAGAGTATATATAAACTGCCGGTTGAAGAGGAAACTAGGAGAAGACGTTGTGGGTGGATGAAACATGTATTGAGGAAATCACCAATGTGCATCATGGGGCAGGCATTAACTTGGAATGCTGAGGGGAAAATGAGAAGAGGGAGACCGAAGAACATGTTGAGTCGGGAATCGGGAAGAGACATGAAAAGGATGAATATTGGCTGTGAACAACTGGAAAGGATTACCTATGACAGAGTTTGATGGAGAATCGTGATTAGTGACCCATGCTTTTCCACGAGGAGTAAGAGGCGTAAGTTATTTAATAACTTGATTGCAATGATTACCTTGCTGAGTTCAGTGTCATTGCATATGAGCCCCATCAAAGCTTATCAGCATACTTTACCATAAAGTATTTGACTACTGGGTCGTTTTTGCCTTTAATAATAGCCATGTGGTTTCCATAGATATTCGTGATCTTCGGTACACATATGTGTCCTTTTATTTCTAACCTCGGTTGTGTCTGTTGCTGATTGTTTTCTTCAGTGTCTCTCTGTTACATAACTTGCGATATTTTTTAGCCACATTATCGTCTATAATAAGTAGTGTAGGCGAAATATCACGTTTGCTTTTTCCTCTTTGCTTCGGTTTTCTGGTTTCTCATTTCAATGTTTGTCTACATAAACACCTGTATGAAACAAATAATCTAACTTTATCCGCGGTTGGCTGCTTATTACCGTCAATGCATAAACGTAGTTAGCCCAGAGGTAGTACACGAAATAAAACGGAATATATTTGTCCACGGTGTATTATATTCGTTCTTCCGAACCAGAGTCAGATTAACGATAAATTAAAATCATCCCGGTTTTTTCTTGTAAACCTTCTGTAATTCTGTTCGTAGACCTTAGATATGTTTTCTTGCGACACAACACATCTTTGCACATGACAGCGTTGTTGGCTGAAGGACTGGACACTACTACTCGTGGTCGAGAGCGAACCAAGATCTATGGCCCATAGGGTCTTTGATTGATATGGAATGAATAAATATATATTGTCGTATAAGCTATGTATTTTCTTGAGGAATTTGAATTGATGAATAAACCTGCGGGACAACTGTATCTGTTCATTACAAGCACGTTTGCGCATGAGTATGCATATATGTTTGTTAGTTTGCAAAAATTTCTTTCTCTCTTTCTCTCTCTCTCTCTCTCTCTATATATATATATATATATATATATATATATATATATATATATATATATATATATATATATATATGGTAAAACGATAACCCCTCGTTTTTACCCTTAAGGCAATGTTGTAAAGGTGTTAGTTTCGGCCCATTCACTTGCATATTCAGTTGACCTTATGGTTTCAGGTTTCGGGTCCTTCTATATACTCCTTTATTTGCTGGTTTTCACCGATTATGTTTACAATGTTTTAATTAACCCCTAAATTAGGTGATCGACGTATTGTTTTTTCGGGTCTGAATCATCGACCTTTTTGTTTGGCTTGCAACTTATTAATATTCCTTAAACACTTGGTGACTTTGTGCTTTACTCCACAAGGTCTGTGCGAAGCTTTTGGCTGTTAGCTGATAACGGTTTTAATTGGTAAACCTCTATGCAAAAGAATCAGGTCTCCAGATTGTGTGGAATATACAGCTTCTTCGTCAAGTAGCATTTTCAGTCCTTTTTAGCGACTTATTTACTTGATATGAAGGACTAATGACCTATCTGTAACTGAATGTTTTAAAGAATTCGAACTACATCCATTAGGGCGTAATATCAAAACTGTTATGTTCTACTATTTCGTAGAGAAGACCTTTAGAAACATTACTACTTGTTCAAGAGCGACCTCAGTTATTTCTCCATCTGTTTACCTGCTGCTCAAAAGCACGATCAACGTGGAAGTTCACAAAATAGAAGTATTTAGAAAATGGGTAATACGGACGGCAACAATTATAGATTGTGTTCAATTCATTATAAAAAGTCACACAATCAACTGGTCTTCAGGAATTCATCAGCATCGCATGCGACTGTTTCTGTTTATATTACATTCTCTCCTAAGTCTAATCAAATTCCTATTGAAACTAAGGTAAAAATAGATTTCATGTGAAAATTTACAAGACAAATAATGAACGAAGATTTGTACGGAATAAGAGAACGCAGTTTGTTTTTTCTGCAGTGACTTAAGGGGTTTGCTGACACCAGAAAATGCCGGAAACATCAGAAACTCCTTCAAGTATACTCACGTGCAACTGACAACAAGCAATTCAAAATTTCTAAGCGTTTAAGTCATTATGTTTGAACAAGAACTGCGCAACCATCCAAATTATATCAAGGTGGCAGCAAACGGTTACTATTTGGCCTGGATTACTCAAATGCAGACGACAGGCCATTTGATTTTGTTAGTATCTGTATGGAACATGTAGGAGCTAGCCATAAATTTATTTGACATGTGTCCGACCCTATTAACTATTCTAATGTAACACATTACAAAGTATTTGTCTTTCGCTGAGTTGATTTTATGCGCTTCTCCATTTTTAATCACTTTTGAGACCGTTTAGCAAAGTCTGAAAAAACAGCTCAGGTGAATAGAAATCACATATTTTAACAAAAGAGATATAAACGTCCATAAAAAACTCAGGTGTTTGTTGTATTCGTCACGGATTTAAACCAAGAAGGCACAGTATTCAACCCGAATATCGGCACCGTGTAACTTGATACAGCTGCAACAGCAGCTAAACCACCCACTATGTTCAATGGGATCCCGGCCAATAACTATAAAATGGAAAGTATGGAACACATTCAGACAAACAATCTACGAAACCTCTCATCATTTGGCAAAACAGACGAAATGTTTGGTGGAACCAAACATCACATGTAATCAACTTTACTAGTTGTTCAGTTGTGTCGGTTAAATATCTGGATTAACTCCACTCTCGTTCGCAATTTTCGTAATGCTTGTGCTTGTAACATAGTTTTTATTCTAATTTATTAGCAGTTTGACTTATTTCTTGCTCACCACTTAAGTAAATCTGTAGTTAGCGTAATATGGTTATTTGTAACAATACAAAGTCAAACAAATAAAATTCTCCATTTTTCCAGTCAAAAAATAGATCACAGATTGACTTTTCATGAAAATAAGCTGTAAAAGTCATTACATATGGTTCACCTCTTTGATTACGGTGACTTTGAGTATAGATGTCCGTAGTTGTTTATAAAATGTAAGTAGAAGCAATTAAGCGTAAACCTAATTATGAACATTATATAACTTGTTTGTATTTAGCCGTAAAAAGTTATATCCATTATAGGTAGCATTGTTTTGTACTGAAGTGACATATTATTATGTAACATATCAGAGAAAAATTATGTGAGTAACAATTGACGTTGATATTCTTTTCTAGCGGCTTTCTGAACATATACAGGAACAGGGTATAACACCACATTAAATAAGCACAAAATCTTCATAAGTAAAACGACGCGTGCTTATTTTGAACAAGGTAACTAAACCATGTCATACTTAATACTGATTGATGATGTGTCTGTTATAGGGTTGACGAATAAGTTTCTGTAAACAGAATCAGCAATGGCAGACCGAAATATGAACAAGGTTATAATGCATATTGTTGAGTAACATCGAAATTGTGCTTACCAATTTTTCTTACTAATACCAAATGTCTAGACGAAATACTACAAGGGTTAGAAACTGAAGAGCGCTGTTTACATGAAGTTCCCAGTGCTTGTTACGACACAGATTTGAATCAAATAAAAACTGTTAATAAGTTAATTCATGAATTCCTACTGTATTACAGACTGACTCATCCGAATTCATGCACAGAACGTTACAAAAAGTGAATGAATTGCTATTTACACTATCATAATGCATGAGTGAGTGCATCTCATTGTCTTTCATTTTTGCTGGCTTAGATAAGAGATGTAAAGTTTTCTACTACGAAAATGCCACTCTGCTACGCTACAGACGTGTCAAGCGTAGTTCAGTCAGTCATGATGGAAGAAAAATTACAGCATGATAAAAGGTACGCCTCCGAATAATTCCATGATAGACGCTATTTCTGGATATCTACAGCTGAGTGACGAAATAAAAGAAAACATAATCACAATTACTGATTACCACACACTTAGCTGACGTGACAACCTAGTGTTTATCCCCAGCCTAAGATATGCGTAAAGTGACTTAGTTCTAAATCCCTAGCTTAGTTACGAAACTACTTACAACTGCCTGACGATCTTGATGTCTTTTTTTAAAAACAGCACATTGAATCGAATTTGTTTATGCGAGTTTAGTCGAAGTTTAGAATTGTCTATATGGTATCGTAACTCATATTAGAATTTCAGAAATAAACTTGGCAAGTAGAAAGTCATCAATGTTTAAAGTTCAATAATGATTTCCACATCGAAAAGTTAAACATACCATGTGTTTAACCCGAACCCTTCCTTTGGCAAAAACAATAGTGTTAGGAGGTGTAGCAGCAGGAAGTGCGAATGAATAGGAAGTTGCAACAGTTACAGGGAACGCTAACAAAAAGGGATGGATCGCAAGTCCCTCGCACTGAAATAAATGATTTTTTGTATTGAAAAAAACTGTAATTGTTAAGATATCGATAAAGCGTACACGAGTTGTGAAAAAATGAACGAGATTGGACCTCTACAGTATTACAAACTGCAAGGATTAATATAGGTCAATAGACCTCCTATCCTTATTACTGAAGACTGACTGTTGGAATCTACAGATCATCTGGTCCAGCTGTTCTGCAGTTTGAGCAGTCTAACAATTATGATATTAGTTAGTAAAGATAGCCTAGAACATTGCTCTTTAAAAATTAAAGTACTCACTTGCTGTAGTTCGTAATGTGGACAATGAAGTATTTTTAATTTTCCATAAAATACTAAATTCAGTGTGATGAAATACTATACATTGCCTAGAATGTTTCGAAATATAGTTTTAAATAAACCTTTTAAGTATATTTCAGAATGAACTTTCGATTTTGGAATTTATAACTGCTCAGCAGAACAAAAAGCCATTTCTCTGTGATATGACAGTCATTTGAGATAAAATGTGACGAGACAGGTCCTAATCTTTAACAGGTTAACGTCATGATCACAACTATTGCGATTACACACAATATTCACTCGTTATGCATTGATATTTTACATAGTCAAATGTGGACAAAAATGTATCTCATTGAACAACTCGATGCAAAACTAAAAACAAATTCCCCTTTCTCGTGATTTTTAATTGATGTATTGATTAACCTTCTTCTAAAAGTTAAAAAGTGATCTGTTTTGCATTTATTACATTCAGTGTTGGTCAGCATAATGTTCGAGGTTTGATGTTTTGTTGTATTAGCAACTAATCATCTAGATGCATGTGTGTGACAATCTATAAACAACATTCCCTATTATTTTTGGCTTCAGATGACAGAAAATTGTTCACTGATTTACCCAAACGAAGTAGCCAGACTAATAGTTTTATGAAATCATAGCTTTGACTATGCAATAGATAAATGCATGAGAACACTAACATTTAGTAGTATTTAGGCCCACTCATCTAATCACTTTTATCACGAGTAATTCATCATTTCGAATTATATTGTCAACCAGTACCAAGTAAAAACCACAACTATCGAAAGTAAATATCATGTCCTTGGAAAAGAAGCGTCTAAGACAATATATGATTACTAATGGGTCTTGTTTAATATCATAAAGTTTACATTTTCATCATCTATCATAAGTGGAATTTGATGTTCTATCTCGCAACAGTCCCGACCTAAACACTCATGAAAAGTTTCGAATGTTGCACTCAGTAGTGTAATGTTTTGTTAACTGTTTGTGACGACGTTCTTTTTTAAAGAATAAAAATAATATAGCCAATTCCGTTAGACTACTTAGAACTACAACATATAACAGAAATGTTTGTGAAATGAGTTCAATGCTACGACAAAGGAAAACTGCAAACCTGTTCTAGATGCAGAGTAAATAATAATGGCCGAAACTGATCCTGTTCGTCATAGTATAATAATTAATTACGGCACTTAATTAATTACCAAAAAGTGACAGAAAACTGATTGAAAAGGTATGGTAAAGATTCCATTCATCAAATAAGCAAAAACCCACTGACTGACTTACTAAACCATAAATAATGGGTAAAATAATTGAAGCTGTAGCTGAATTGGATGTGAACTCAGTCATCGCTGCTGCTGTAAGTGTACAGACTATACTTAAAATCGTAAATGGAATGTATTTCAGATGCACACTAAGATATTCTCCAATTACATTTGTCAAACCAGAAGCCTAAATAAATACAGAAATAGGATAATGTGTTCATATCATGGTATGTAGTATGGTAACGTGCTAAGACATTTGAAATGGGTTACAAGAAAACAAAATTTTCAGGCTCAAAGGCTTGTAGACGTTCAGCCTAGCTTTTAATCTGAGCTGATCAATTTTATGCAGAACCATAGGAAACAAAAATGAAATCCAGATAATGGCTGGTTCTTTGCTGACTAAATAACACCATGAAAACATATCTATTTATCGTTACAACTGACCTGCATTAAAGTTGCCAGCGCGAATCCTCCTCCGACCACCACAATTACACCCCACGGGAACCTCACCAATGCTACTTTCCAGGGAAGAAGGACACGGGTTATTTCTGGGTCTGGCTCTATAACACAAAATTAAGATAAAATTTTAGTTTTTCCACTTTACTGTTTCTCATAAACTTTTGGCTGTTATTTGACCGCTATTTGATACATGAAGAATCCTAATAAATTTGTAATAACTTGGAAATGATACAAGTCAAATGACCAGTAATCCTATTTCTAACAGTAATTTTTAAAAATTGAGGCTGCTTTCTGTCACTAACTAATATGCTAATAACGCTAAATAGACACAATTTTTTAAACTTTCAGTTACAGTTTATCACTACAAGAAGTTATTTTACAGTTCTTTGATTCAAAAGAATAAGAAAATCAATATATCTCAGTACACAGTGGGATTATTTCGGTTGTCTAATATGCATATTAAAAAGGGTTCATAGACGCTTTTTAACTCCAATCGTTATAACTGAGTCCACTTCATTGGATAGTTACAGAAACGTCACGTTATTATGAGACTTCCTAGTTTCTTCATGAATCATTGCGATAATCGAATTACCATTATAATTACCGCTTAAAATATTGCTGAAATAACGTCTGAACCACAAAAGTTTTTATTACAATGTGTTCAAGTCCTAGTCGTAAATATTATCAATATTCACTAACCAAATAAGTTGTTGTCCCCAGATTCAGTACTATCAAGAAACGAATTCAGAAAAAGAATATATTGTAAGGTTTACTAAATTAATGATTATGGGTATAAGTGGAATCGAAGTAAAATGTTTGCTGATTGCATCTACTCAGAATGAATTACTGGTTCTGTATGCACAAAAAGACATCATTTTAATCTCTTCAATTAAAAAAGCATTGCAAAAACCTCGTTTTTGAGCCTAAGCATGCTGATATGTCAAAGGTAGTTTGTACTTATCATGATGTGAAAAATGTTAGAACATTTCAATGTACGTAGCCTTGTTTAACTACTCTCAAAATCCCAACACATGACCACAATGTCGTTATCATGTTTTCATTTGTTTAGAAAAAACTGTATTTGTAAAGAATTACAGGTTCCAGTGTAGGTTGGTTCGCATAACTACTTGTTTACACACTAATAAAATGAACAATGTAAATTCAACAGTACTCACCTGTTTTAGTTTTGTAACAGTGTTTCCAGTGTTTCCAAAGCTTAACTGGATTAGATGCTGGTAAGATCGTTGTTATGATAGCCATTAAGATAGCTGGGGTGCTGTCTGTTATGTATTTTCTTGTAAACGAATCGCAGACAGACAGAAACCATTATTAATTCGTCATCATTTATTCAACTTGTATATGAAGTTCAAGTTTAATTAATCACGCTTACGATATATCGAAATACAATTTTCAAATCAACGATTAGCACATATATTTTGATATAAATTCATGAAGAATTGTTAATTTAAGTCTTGTACTTCATAGATTCTCTGATAGAAGTATAAATAATAACCAGAAATTTCAATATTTCCGTCTTATGAATGTTATCAATATATCTGCTTGATTATTCTTAAGAACACAACACCTGGGTACAAAAACTAGATTTTCAGTGCTCTGTCATTCACAACCCTTGCAAATCCAGAATTTTCTATTTATCCAGTCTTAACTATTTTTCAAAACTTGACAAAACTACTTTGTCAATCATAACTATTATGTAATTACTTGTTTGATCTTATTAAACATTAACCAAGAGTACTACTAAAATATTCTGCATATAGGACAAATAATGATTTCAGTTTGTAGTTTTTAGTTAGACATACATAATTCAAAACAGGTAGAAAGATTATACAACTTCCTAAAGTTTTATGAGAGCAACTAACACTCACTGAGATGTTAACACATTGCACTGAAAACTTTACGAACCATTAAGGATAAAGATCAGTTTGACGAGAGGCTGAAATCGACCATAGCGAAGTCCCCTGGAAAAGATCTGACCATCCTGATGGGAGGCCTAAACACCAATGTTAGAATAGACAACACCGGATATGAAGGTGTCATAGGACGAAATGGACTGAGAGAAAGGAACAAGAATGGTGAGCGATTTGTGGATTCATGTGCAATTAACAAAATGGTTATAGGCGGCACTAGTATCGTCAGAAAAAGCATCAGGAGAAAGAATTATGAAACAACTACATTGCACAACGAAGAAACTAGCAGGACAACGTAGTAAATCAGAGAGACCAGTTAAGGACAATGAAAACGGGACCATCACTGAGACTCAAGAACAGAGGAACAGCTGGGTAGAACACGTAACTGAACAGCATCATTGATGAACAAGGAGGATCTGATGCAGATGTAAAGGCAAGGATTGGCAAAGCAAGGGTCGCATTCCTACAATTCAAGGAAACATATGGAGCTCAAAACAACTGTCAGTCGACATCAAATTGAGAATCCTGCATACGAAAGTCAAGACAGTTCTGTTGTATGGAGTTGAGACGTGGAGAACTTCTACGACCATCATCAAAATGCACAAGTATTTCAAAAGAATTGTCTACTCGAGATACTCAATGTCCATTGACCGGACACCACCAGCAACAACCTACTGTGGGAGAGTATATATAAACTGCCGGTTGAAGAGGAAACTAGGAGAAGACGTTGTGGGTGGATGAAACATGTATTGAGGAAATCACCAATGTGCATCATGGGGCAGGCATTAACTTGGAATGCTGAGGGGAAAATGAGAAGAGGGAGACCGAAGAATATGTTGGGTCGGGAATCGGGAAGAGACATGAAAAGGATGAATATTGGCTGTGAACAACTGGAAAGGATTACCTATGACAGAGTTTGATGGAGAATCGTGATTAGTGACTCATGCTTTTCCTCGAGGGTAAACTGTCGTAAGCTAGTGATTATCGATCAGTTTGTGTACATTTTGCAGATCGAAATGGCGAATGCCAGCACCAAAACTAGACGAACACCTAACATAACGTAAATTCAATAGGCTCAATGATTTTCGGTTCTCAATATGTATGATAGTGTTCATACTTATGATATTTGATAATGCCATTTCCAATCCTGCCGTAATTCCCGGCATTTAATGTCTAGTATGTTTGACTGCATTCAAAATATTTGATGCAAGTTGTAATAAAATCATACTACTATCCTGCTATCAAGTTACTACGGCTTCTCTGTCCTGTTATTTCAAATGATCATGTCAACCAAAATAGCTTAATGATTTTGGAAAACTGGTTTATCAAAGCCCCTTACTACTTAATTAAGATTATTAAACAAAGCCAAGTGTAATGAGATTGGTTGCGCTAGATCATTCAATGTGCTGACCTTTTGGAAAATCCAAAGACGGAAAATGATGATTAACAACTTCCAGAGTAGACAGACGGCACAGAAAGAATAACATGTGCAGCTGAATTTCGTTTGTTTTAGTTAAATCTGCACTTTAACGGGAAGGAGAAGAAGGGAGATAAACATGATGGTAATGCCATTTCGTAAAATGTGACATGACCTGACTTACAAATAGCAGACTTTTTCTGCGTTTATACGTCTACAATTGAATCTTGATACTCCTCAATTGTACTTGAGCAAAATCGTTTAGCTGCTAATATAGCTAGTCCTTAGTTGGGTTCGGAGTATAACGGATTTAAACTCAAAGAAAGGTAATAAAAGATACATTTTCTCTTGAAGTTGTTTGTTACTTCGTACACATTCTCTAGTACATTCGTAGACGAAACACCAATGTTGTAAATCCAACCACATAATAATGATTCATCTCAAGTTCTTAGTTTAAAACAAGGTACATTTTTACTGTTACAGAGATGTATTATTACCATCCGTTCAGTAAACATGTGCCTGTAAGTATTTGACGTGAGCGTAAAGTAAGTGAACCTAAGACAAATTAATTTTTCCTACATTTGTGTACATTCAGTTTAATTGTCTAATTTGAATATTAATTCGAAATTGTTGAAGACTGTAATTTAAAGTTGGGGATTAACACCGTAAAATGCCGGCTCAGTAGTCTAGAGGTTAAGCATTTGACGCTAAACTGGAGATCTTGGGTTCGGGTCCCGCGTGCGGGATAGTGGATGCGCACTGTTGAGAAGTCTCATACTAGGACGAAACAGCTGTCCGGTGCTTCCAGGTTATCAGTGGGGGTCAAACATTGATCAGTTTATGATCTCAATTAAAAATGCAATTTTAATTGGTGCATATGATTTAGTGATTGTGATCATATTATATGGACTGGAGATTGCTAAAGGCTAGTGACACCTCCAGTGTCAGAGGACTCAGCCATGTAATCGGTTACTAGTAGTAATAAGTAGTTTCCTATAATTCTAGATCTTGGTTTTTGAAATACAGTATAGTAAAACTTATTTCAGCAAGGAACTAAGAGCAACTCACGATGTTTTAGGATCAGAGGGGTCAACAAAAAGCTTTCCCCATCCTGATGACCCAATATTTCGCGTCATCCATAGTGTTGTGAGCAATAGGAAAAGACCTCCAGAGAGTACTTCACAATATCTAGTACAAAAAAGCAAAACCTTTAATTTTCAACTATTTAAAATATTGTCCATAAAAAAGACAAAACAAATAGACCAAGTTGTAGAACACTTTTAAATCCCTGATAAACAATTTGACATTCCGAGGGTACTCCATTACTACTTTTTTCGACGATATCATTCTCTGAAGCTGTATAATTGTATATATATATAAAATATTGTCAAACTTACACAAGTATCAGGCGTTATAGTCAGTGAAAATGAAGTGGTGTTGTATTATATGACCAAAATTATGAAAAGATTTCATGCATTGAAGATAATAATTTATAAATGAAAGAGTATTATTTCAACCAAATCAAAGTTTTCGAAAGTTCTCAAGTAGTGAATAAAATGGGTTTTGCATCATATAGCACAGTAATAAAAAATACCAAGAACTAAAGTTGTGTAATTGTTTTGGAATAATAACAAAAGATGTCTATTTTACTAAGTAGTAGAAGAGTAAGATTCGGGTGAGTGCTAAGACAATGAAAAAATGAGAGACTAAACATAATCTTTTAGTAAACAGAGATCAGGTTTGAAATGATAAATTGCTACAGCCTCGACTGTCTGAAAATTCATGGTCCAAACCATTTTTGAACCAGTTCTCACTTCGTAGTTGATTTCGGACGACGATTATTGTGATTGGATGTGATAAGATTTGACCATGTGTCCAAGTATTGAGACATTGATTTAAATTATCCTTAGATAGTCATACAGGATAGTGCCAGGATATTCGCTTGCCAAGTTTACGCTTTGTTCATCCAAAGTAACTTCTTCTACAAGAACTAAAAAACTGATAAATGGACAGTGAGGAGGCCAAAATTGGTGGTTTGTCCTTTACACTTCCTTGAATGAGTTTCATGCTAAAGAAAACATCTCTCAGCTTTGCTGAATAAAACGTCCTTTTCAGAAATCTAGATAGTCTGGTCTTTGATATCTCAGTATACACGTCTCCCTTGAATTTAACGTTTAGCAATAAAACTTAGGAACTATGGGAGTGCATTCAAATTGACTTTTTGCTTCTAGATTACTATCAATGAAAATTGAAGCGAAGCTATTTTGCAGAAGTGTTCTTCGGATCATATTTGGCTCATCATCAAATGTATCTTCAGCGCATAATCTTCTGGGTCTTGATGATAGAGAATGTATTAAATTTATATTTCTACTCAGTGACACACAACTTTATAAGTTTTTATACTTCCCATTCCAGGTCTGCTTTCCATATATCAATCGTTGAAAAGATCCATCTGATCTTAATTTTATTAGAACATCAATAAACTGGAATTCTGCATTCGACTCCGCTTCTATTACGAACGTAATCAAATGGTGACGATTAATTAATTCTCGTTGTATTTCCTTATGGTCACTGTTTTCGTCATAGATGTGATATAAGTATCACTCATATATCTTTTCAAAAAAATATTATCGATTGTTGCTTGTACGATAGTGTTAATGTTGGCCATAAAACGGTCTGCGATAAGACGACAAAATGGAGATCCCATCGTGGTACCACTTTTTTGTTTATAGATATCATCGTTAAATTTAAATTACATGTTAAAAGTGCGGTTTAGAAGTAGTTCTTTTAGGAAATGTTTTCGTATCCTGACGTTCAAGTTGTTAAGGTCAATATGATCGCATCAGAAACAAATAGTTTGTGTGAACGGAATATTTGTGAATAGAGGAGTAACATCTAATAATGCTATTTTAGTCCCCGATACATTAAAGGTGGTTATTTAGTTATCGTTAACTATTTTTAAGCTGGAAGTTTTATTCGTCATAATGAATAAAGTTATGCTGTCAAATTATTTGTTTGTAAACGTCTCTGATTTCTTAGTTGTTTCATTCTTTTTTAGTTAAACATAGCACATTTAGTAAAACACATACTTCAACACGTTAAAAGAGTTTGAATGTTCAGTTTTACCAATGTTTATATCATTAATAAATGAATTTTATAGTCATTAATCTCTTTTATTTGAACTGACAGACAATGTTGAAGACTATTGCCCTCCTCGAAAAACGTAAAGTGTATGAGAAGAATTAATTTTATATTGACTACTTTTGAATTCTTGTTGATAACTTAAAAATGGCGTCGACGTTTAGGACTGATCAAACTTTTTCTATACGAGAATTTTAATTCTCAGAATCTTCAGACTGTTCACTTGCTCAGGTTGTCGTTAAATACTTCCTAATAATTCTTTACAGTTTGGCCCGATGAACTTAATTTTAGTCTTTAAATTAGTTAGGTGTTTGTTCACTGCTCATCGTCAAAGTTTCAGGTTGACTGAAATAAAAGTTCACATTACAATGTGTATTTATTCATCAATTAACTTGCTTGATCGATCCAAGTTTCTGTTGTTCTGCTTCTAATATTTGGGCTAACCGTTCTTTCTTTCTTTTCGACTGCTTAAACGTACACAAACTTCTAGAAAAAAAATTGAACAAAAAGTAGTGTATCGACACATTTAAAGACTTCACATATTTATCTAACTAGATTGCAGCTGACGCAAAATAGGTGGATTTCGAAAAAATCTTCTGTCAAGTGTAATTCGAAAGTGTTTTTAGTTGATTAATTTGATGATTCAACTGTAGTAATAAATTTACCAATCATGTAGAGATGTACATCTGTTCTCGGAATATGTTGGTGAGAAAATTTAGTGTTTAATACATATATTGAAGTTCTAAAGTTTGGATTAGGCGAAGAACATAGTGTAAACAAAAGAAAGTTATATATGTTCTAAATTTGCTTTCTGGTTTATTTCCTAATGAAAAAGTGAAATGTTCTTGTATTTACTAAAACATATTCTAGTCAGTGGAAAAAACTACTATCATTTTTCCTTTAACGACTTCCGTACAAAAAGACTCGTAAATTTTGTGTTGTTGAATGGTTCAAATTACAACCTACAACAAATAGACGTCTATAATTGTTGAAAAGATCAAAGATGTTATTATGGTCTTAATCATCTATTGAGCTTTAAATTCTGATGTCTTAAGTAATTAAAGCCTTGTGAAAATGCATAAATCTTTCTAAGTTCAAAATACTGGGTACATTAGGTAGATATGTAGTACTCACAAAGATGGAATCTCTAAAATCTATTTGGAAACACGTTAAGAATAATTTGTAGGCATGAAACTCAGAACTCGTTAAAAAGACATGACTTCTTTTGAGTGATTTCGTTTCAATCAAAATAATTGAGAAGAAATAACTGGATTAAAATACCTTTTTTTAATAGAATGTCAGTGATGAGTTAAATCAGGTCGATCAAGTAGCTGGAAAACCATTTTTCTGGCGTATGACTCACAAATATAGAGTTTTGAAAAACTGAACACACATAAGGGTTGTGAGTATGGATATCGTTGAGTTTCATTGAAGTCACGAATTTATCTAACCTCCACAACTTTTGAAAACCTTGCATGAGTTGATTGACGTAAGACTTGTTCACGATTGGATATATAATCAGTGACCTAGAGGTTAAACGTTCACTAGCGGGACCGAAACTCTTGAGTTCAATTCGCGGTTGAGGGTCATGGATCAGTAGTGATAAAAAGTTACATAATAGGTCGCTAAGGCCGTTTAGTGTTTTCAGTTTTTCAATAACTATACAAAATAGATCGATTCGTAAATTCAACAAAATATATGTATGTTTAAATATTTCCCAGTAGGGTCCATCAAATATCCTTGTCCAAGATTCTATGACTTATTAACATTTAGTATGCAGCCTCTTCACATAATGACCAAATGCAATAAACTGTAGGCTAACATGAATTTGTGACGGCTAAACGGTACTTACTTACGCCAGCTTACCCTCGTGGAGAAGCATGAGTCACTAATCACGATTCTCCATCAAACTCTGTCATAGGTAATCCTTTCCAGTTGTTCACAGCCAATATTCATCCTTTTCATGTCTCTTCCCGATTCCCGACTCAACATATTCTTCGGTCTCCCTCTTCTCATTTTCCCCTCAGCATTCCAAGTTAATGCCTGCCCCATGATGCACATTGGTGATTTCCTCAATACATGTTTCATCCACCCACAACGTCTTCTCCTAGTTTCCTCTTCAACCGGCAGTTTATATATACTCTCCCACAGTAGGTTGTTGCTGGTGGTGTCCGGTCAATGGACATTGAGTATCTCGAGTAGACAATTCTTTTGAAATACTTGTGCATTTTGATGATGGTCGTAGAAGTTCTCCACGTCTCAACTCCATACAACAGAACTGTCTTGACTTTCGTATGCAGGATTCTCAATTTGATGTCGACTGACAGTTGTTTTGAGCTCCATATGTTTCCTTGAATTGTAGGAATGCGACCCTTGCTTTGCCAATCCTTGCCTTTACATCTGCATCAGATCCTCCTTGTTCATCAATGATGCTGTTCAGTTACGTGTTCTACCCAGCTGTTCCTCTGTTCTTGAGTCTCAGTGATGGTCCCGTTTTCATTGTCCTTAACTGGTCTCTCTGATTTACTACGTTGTCCTGCTAGTTTCTTCGTTGTGCAATGTAGTTGTTTCATAATTCTTTCTCCTGAAGCTTTTTCTGACTTCGTTGCTAGTGCCGTCTGTCAAACGCTTTCTAATAGTCAAGAAAGGTGATGTATATTGGAAGATCCCATTCAATTAATCCTTCAATGTTCATATATAGCGTCTCGATTTGGTCAGTGGACGACCGATCCTAACGGAATCTGGCCTGCTGGTCTCAAAGTTGGGCGTCTACTGAATTTTAATCTGGTTCAGGAATGCTTTTTCGAAAACGTTTTCTGGTACCGATAATAATGTGGTGCCTCTACATTTCTCACACTTGCTCAGATCACCTTTTTTGATATCTTGATGAGGTGTCGTTTATTCCAGTCTGTCCGTACTTGTTCCTCCTCCCAAATCTTCCTGAATATAAAGTGGAGCATCCTTGATGCTGCTCCTATTTTTGGCGTTAATGCTTCAGGTGGCACGTTGTCGAATCCTTCTGTTTTCTCTTTCTTGATTCGTCTGATGGCTATCTTGATCTCTTCGATTGTTGGTGGAGTGACACATATAAGAATGTCGTTGTGTACTGCTTCGATGTCCAGTGAGTTCAGTGAGACTAGTTAAACTTATAAGCATAACACTATAATATAAATAGCTTCATATCTTACTTTGGACCGAAGAACAAAATGATAAGCCAAATCCAGACGAACAGGAACATGAAAGCTGAAAGCGGAAGTGCGTAAGCCATCCAAGTACCGAAATTCAAACCAGTTGAATCACCGTATCGACTGATTCAAGTAGCAAGTTGAAAAGTATAAATAAGTTGATAATTTAAACTAATGACCATGAAAAATGACATTTATAAGACATATAAACATAATTTCTACCAGCTAATATTTTCGAAAATTATTCCAAAAAGCATGATTTTTGATTTAGTACTCGCCTTACCCATAGCTTTTATCAGAAGAGATATTTCAATCATACATCTGAGCTTATAAGAAGTTTTGTATTTTGTTTCCACAAGTAGTTACGCAAATATTTCGGTTTTCATTTGGATGGGTAGTTAAATAAGAATTAGATGGGCAGTATGCCTTCATTCTTGTTAAATAAGTTTCAAAAACTAATATCTGATGTAATGTAATTAATTCACTGATTTCGATTTCTGCTGTGGTGATACTACTATAGTAATCACTCAGTGGTCATATAAATACCCATTCTAGTGAAGTATTTGCTATCCGGAATCTTTACTTTATGTGAATACTTTATAAGCAGTACGGTAGCTGACATGCAGATATTAGCTAATAAACTCTAAATTTGGGAAGAAACACCCAGAGCACATGAAACAACAAAATATTTTAAGGCATTTCGGTAAAATAAAAATTTGTTGGAGGACTGTAGGAAGATAACATGGAAAACTATTGAACTCTCCGAAGCTTAAGTTATAAAGTTTATTTCATCCGCGAACGGCTATCCCGTTATTTGTAAGTAAAAGGTATATAAATGATAGTCAAAAGAGAAAAATTATTTCCCGTATATTAAGTGATATCTTTAGCAACGACCATAATTATATGAAGTGTATCTTCATATAGCTTGATTTACAAAGAGAGATAATGAGGATGTAAATTTCATGAATATAGAGTTGGAAAATAAGTTTTACTGCAAAATATCTACAATACGAAACTAGTTTATGGGATCATCTTTAAAACTGTAAAAAAGAGAAAGTTTGAAAAAAATCAAATCAGTGAAATGTACTCGATAGTAATTTAACTATTGACTGAAAAAATTAAGAAGATAATTGTCGAAATCTTACCTTAAGGTAGTTCCTTGAAGAATGGAATTAGGTGGAGTACCTATGATTGTTGCCACACCGCCAATTGAAGATGCATAAGCAATACTGAGACTAAATCCAATACTCATTCGTTTCAATTTCGACTGTTCATTTGAAACTTTAGATGTTGCAACAGGATTATCATTTTGTACACAGTTGGTATTAGATACCTGAGAATCTTGTCCATTACCAATTTCAGGCTTCACTGAACTCAAAGTTGATTCATTACTGGATAAAGGAAGTATAATTTAGATAAATTTAATCTCCCCAGCCAACTATTACAAAATGAAAGATCTGAAATATAACTAAATGTTATTCTGAAATTAAAATAAGCCTAATAAAGTGATGATCCAGATGTGCCAGCAAATTAGACCGATAAGTATACATAAGAATATATTGTAAAATTCTGCAAATTAATCAAAAACAGACAGATAACGGATGTAAACTGGGGTAAAATTTTGATTCTGTTAATAAGATATTTCTTAAAACAGTGTTGATTTTTGATTTATGGACAAAGTACAACACTAACCAGTAGTGAAAAGTGCAATGTAGCAATTGTTTTTGTAATCTGTGAAACACGTGTGATTGATGGTAATTAATACCAGTATCTGGAGGCTGTCAGCAAAAACGTTGGAAGATTTTAGAAGCAAATCAACCTAGTTTAAAAAAGTTTTCAGACAGTAGTTCTAGAGCCTACTGGAAGATTTAAGCATTTGAAAGGATATGATAAATTTTCAACAAAACACTTTGTCACCATAGTTTTCCCGCGTCAACGAAAAAAAGTTCACTTGATAGGTAATACCACATTTTGTCAAAGAAACCGTGTGTTTAAGTCTGCTGATAAATATGCCAAACGGTTGTTAACTACTAGTGAATATCGTTCCTGTTCAGTTAGCATGAGGAAAATAGACGGGCATATATTATAATTTCTCATCACTTGAATTTATTGCACTTCGGGTATAGAGGCAAAGTAATGGTGATATTTCTTATCTTCACAAAACCTGTCGGCAATTTTATGATGTCATTTATCTACTTAGTCTCACCGTTATTGATGGATTACAGTACGGAACAACTAACTTGAACGACTGAGTTGTTTAGTTTAGCGGTATTTTACATCTCACATTTACAAATTTTCTAGCTGTTTGCCCATCTATACATGACACTTCGAATAGTAAACTTAATTTAAGAGTGCAGATTCCTCACTTTTTTTAAATATACATGAAATTAATCATTTGTTTCTTGTAAAACAGTTTGTCAATTAACATAGCGCTAGTACGCAAGCGAAATACTTATCGGTTTATTATGAGACAATTTATCCAATATACCATAGAAGGTACTATGTGATAAAAACTACAAGGTGAATATGAGATTTTCGCAACTGATTTTAAAGTAAAATTGGATACAGCTCAACTTGGAAGTTACACTGGTACATTTACTAATGAATACATTTTTATTCTAATAATTAATTTAATCAAATAATCAGTGTAAGGTTATATATCAGGCTCACGAAACCAGCAAGCGAAAAACTCAGTATTCAGTAGAATATACATTTTTAATGGCATGGTTTGCCTCCATACTTATTCACAATTTTTTGAAATATTTTAAGCTCAAATTGATGAAGGTATAAAATGATTTACCTGTCATTATGTTCTTCTTCATCTGCTTCATCTGTAAATGATCAAGTTTATAAATAGTATAATTAGAAAGTTAAATAAGCAAAATGTAAATGCTCTGTGTATTAAAAGCATTTTGTGAATTTAAAACTTCCGGATGATTTATTGTTTTTTGTGAGATTTTTCGGTGTACTGTATTCCATAAAAAGCTATCAGTAGAAAAAATGTTTACAGTCAGTTCACTGATATTGTTTCAGAGTTTTTATAGTCCTCTCACTTTCGCAAAGGGATCTTCTGTTTCTCAGTCTGTGGGATGTCGGAATTAAGTGACTGAATTATTATTTTGCGATTAATTTTAGGTAAATGATCATAATTGATGGTTCTAATTAAACAACTCCTAAATGTCCTTGTATGGCCGAGACTGAGGAGAGTCAACTCCACCTCTCAAAATGCTCTCAAATGGATGCGTGTATACAGCCACTGCTAGGGACGTCCTACTCACTGCCTTCTCGCGGCGAAGTATTGTATACGAAATTGAAAGGACGAAAAGCGAATGTCCGGCGCTTTAACCGGGTTGGTGGATATGGAGGATACACCTAGAGAAATTGGAAAACCCTGGTTCCAAACCAATGGTACACATGGGCTCCAGGATCCTGAAGGAACAAATGGCGTATGAACCAATTACTGGTCACTGGCTACCATAGAATTGCATCTGTTGACGTTGCTCCACTGCCTTGTGGATCAGACCTTTAGGTCAAAGGCTCCGGTTGTGGCCCCCTAAGGTCTGGCTACCCCGGCAATATCACAGCCCAAACATAAATCAAATGACTTGTGTGGTGCATATATATTCGGTTCTCCTTTGTACCAATATTTATGTTCAAATAAATAATAAATAATAAAACTCAAAAACAGACTTCCGGTAATTAACCCAAAGCATGTCGAAACGTAAGTGGTCAATATGAAATAGATGCATACGATATCATATGATTTTATGGAAATATATTTGTTAGATATCTCATGTTTCATTGCTTATTATGTAAATCAGTAAACGTGCATTTTATCTATTACAATAAACGTACTATAACCATGGAAAAAGTAAATGAAGGAAAAAGTAGCTTAACTGAATATTTGAACCAAAAATTCACATACTTTTTCCGTTGTGCTGTCACTTTTCTTTGCGTTTAGTATTTTAAAGCAGAGCCTCTCATAGGTTTCAGAAACTCAAGAAAGTTATCATAACAAATCCTTATTTAAATCATTATGAGTATCCAATCAATAATGTGAATTAACTTGTATATGTAGATAGATTAACCTGAAATGCTCTCTGAATCCTTGTGACTCTTTGGATGTATGTGCTGATTTTAAATTGGTATTTAATGTTTATTTAGCCCTAAGTCTATTAATCTACTCTTCTTTACTAAAAGAATAGTCACTATAGTTGAATCCATAAACTAACCTGATTAATTATTAATAGAATTCAATGACATAGGTTTTACTAAACTTTTTTTTAGGACTAGTTCTCCCTATTCCGTAAATACAAGGAGTAAACTAAATAGAAAAACTAGAATCTGCAACAACGTTTATGCTTATAACCTCAAAATCATGCAAGAAATATGAATTTGGCCAGTAGATTTAAACATGATAAATATTACAAGATAGAAAAAACGCCTAATTAAAACTAAGACATCTTATGAAAATATTTAAGCTAAAATTGTATGGTTTTAAAATTCAAACTTCTGTTGTGACCACTAGCTGTAATGATTACTACGTGTTCGAGCGAACTAATTAATCTGTCGATACCATGTAAGTTTAAGAATCGGTATTTCATGTGAACCATTGGTTGCTAAAATTAGATATTTCGACCTGAGAAATATTTTAAGTTCAAAATTCGTTACTAATGATGATCAGGCTTATATGTATAATTTACAATTAGACTTATCAAAGCTAGCCATATGTTTTCATTTATTCAAGATACTAGATGGTGAGCTTTGTCCAAGCCAAGCTGGTTGCATTTTCACCAGTAATGTTTCATATTGTACTTTAAAAATGTTGATTAAAGTTTTCTTCTAGATTGACTGCTTCGTTTTAACAGCAATAATAAATCTTCATGGAACCCTCTATAGAACATAAAATAATCATTGTTAATTGACAGAAATGACGCCTTTCTCCACAAAAGATATTATTCATCCTGTAAATATCCACATGAATATATATTTCGATCTTATTATCGTTCACCCATGAATCTTCTTACTGACTATAAGTTATTTGCAGTTTTTTGTAAACCACCGTCGCTTTGTGGCCTCTGTCCAGTTAGTTTCTTACGAAAACATTTTTATTTAATAAGTTGATCTAACAAATACAAATTAAAGGCTAAGCTCATTATGTCAAAGTGAAATGATAGCCCATTTCTTTTAATATGGCCTAATATAGATTGTAAGAAAGATTTAATAAATAATTTACATTACCAACTTTCATTAAATCAGTCAATAGTGGATCCAAAATTGTTATCATCATGGCTGTAGTAGCAGTATTGCTCATCCACATAGACAGAAACCAGCTGGGTAACATAAAGCCGAGCATAAGCCTGCAAAATGGTAAATTATCATCAACCAAACATGTAACTAGTGATTCTTTCAGGAAATAAATGTAAATGGTAAGCTAAAACAATAACATTTTAACTTACATTGGGAAAATTCAAACAAATCCTCCATGTTATTGATATCACAAACCGATCGAACTCGTACAAAAACTGAAAAAACTGGAAGCACTGAATGACCATTTCGGCCTGTAATGTGAATCTTCAGGAATGCACATTTTCAACCTCGGAAGGGATAATTGAACTCAGGACCTTTGGTCTCATGAGTGAACATTTAACTAATAGACCACTGATCTTATCTTGAATGGTGTACAAGTTTAACTTTCATTAATCGAAAAATTTCTTACAACCATTTTCGATTGTCTTCGGTGGGTAACCTCTTCATATGCGACACGACACACCTTTTACGATAGAAGATGGTTGTACAATATCTTGGATTGATGGAAGTCTAACTTGTACACAATTCAAGATAAAATCAGTGGTCTATTGGTTAAGTGTTCACTCATGAGACCGAAGGTCCTGAGTTCGATTATCCCTTCCGAGGTTGAAAATGTGCATTCCTGAAGATTCACATTACAGGCCGAAATGGTCATTCAGTGCTTCCAGTTTTTTCAGTTTTTGTACAAGTTCGATCGGTTTGTGATATCAATAAAATTCAAAAATCCACTCAACTCTATGCTAAACATCTTATATTGTCGAAGATTTTATACGTGAGCTCATCTAAGCCTCATTGTGAAGGTAGTGAGAACTGTTCAACAGAAAATCAGGTTCCTTAGGATACTAATAAAATATATGGCTTCCGTTTACTGATCGGGGTTGTGGTAGCAAAGTGATACATGTTTAGTCAAAATTAGTTCTTAAAAACTCTACTTACTACATGAGGCAAGATTTATAAAACAAAATATATCCTTGAATATATGAATTTAGTACATGTCAGAAGTAAATTCAAGATAATATTTGAATTTTATCAACATTATTCCCCAGATACTATTATTTTAAACAACCAACTATCGTCTCATCAGGCAATTCATCTAACTTAATAATGATATTGATAGTAAAATTTATTCCTTTTAATAATTCTAACAGACACCATTGCACTCAACAACTACACCACATTTCATAGATACACTCTCAGTTACATTTCCGAAAAACAAACAATTAAAATATCACTAAAACTTGGTTAACCATGTCAACAATATGAAAACGTGTATGACTCCTACTTATTATTAACTTTCGTTATCTAGTTCAGATATCTGAACTGTACAAATACTGTATTCTTGAAAAGATTCAAATGATATCTTTTTGTTCAACAGATTTGTTCAGTTACTAATTATAGTCTTTTAACTTGACTGATTTTCTATGTTTTTAAATCTGCTTAAATATCTTAAAAGGTGCTCTTTCAAACACATATCATTCAAATATACAAGTGAGTAACTTCATGCTTATCTAAACTTGACTGATACAAAATATGTTCATATTTTTGTAATAATACAACACAGTCCGCTGGACTGCAAGTCACGCGTCAGTTATCTGACAAAGTTTAAACTTCTAATAATAGGCAAATATATTCAATTCAATTAACATACATTTTTGGATCACTTCCTACAAGTTTTAAAAATGAAATTGCTATTCTTTTGTGAACATAATTATTTTCTATTGCACACGCCATCATTAAACCCCCGAAAAACAGCATGTTTGTATCCTTGAAAAATTTTAAAAAACCCAAAGGAAAAATTATATTACATAAAAAGAATTTTAAATAGAGATTAAACATCTTTAGAAATTTTAATTGTTTTATGCAACAATTTATTTACTATTTATTTTAACTTTAACACACAGATATTGGTACAAGGAGGCACCAAATACATATGCGCCACACAAATCCCATTTGATCTGTGAGAGGGCTGTGATATTGCCCGGGTGTCGAAACCGAAGCAGGTGGTTCTCTTAGGGGGCCACACCCGGAGCCTTCGACCTGAAGGTCTGATCCACAAGGCAGTGGAGCATCGTAAGGAGATGCGGTCCTATGGTAGCCAGTGACCAGTACTTGGTTCATATGCCATTTGTTCCCGCAGGATACTGGAGCCCATGTGCACCATTGGTTTGGAATCCGGTTGAAGCGCCGGACATTCGCTTTTCGTCCTCTCATTTTCGTAAACAACACCCCCGCCACGAGAAGGCAATGAGTAGGACTTGCCTGGCAGAGGCTACATACGCGTGGCCATGTGAGAGCATTTCGAGAGGGAGAGCGGACTCTACCCACTCTCGGCCGTACCGGGGCATTTGTGGGCTTTTTTTTAAATAGGAACGATGACGGGGCTGATTCGCATGCATATAGCATACAATTCTCTTTGAACCTAGCACACAAAAATAGCATCATGCACTGTCCCAATATATTCTGGATGGACAAACATTTGAAGTAAAACGTCTCGTCTAGAATCGTAGAACATTGTGACAGGATAGGGTACGCAAAATCTAATTTATCATAAAAACAAAAACTTTTAAGTTCTGAATGCTATCATGTTATTTTGTCTTAAATTAAGTCTCAGTATCAAGTAGGATTTCCAAAACTCCTATATTTCTTATCAAGACACCAGTTAACAGTAGAAAATAGCATCAACTTTCGTGATTTTTAAGAATTATAGTTAATAAAACTTACTCTTGTATAAGATGGAGAAATAGTTGATGCCGGTGCTATTCCAAGTAGTGGTCCAAACACCAGTGGGATTAGAGCAGTCACATAAATCGGTATGATTTCAGTCACCCATAAACCAGACATAAGAAGTAGAACATAGCCTCCTCTTGCTGGCTTTAAAACAAATAAAGGCAATAGGGTAAACATTCAATGATATTGTATGATTAAAAAATCATTTATTAGAAACAGCATAAAAGAAACAGCACGTAAGTATCTAATTAGACAAATCAGCGCTATGTATACCGTATTTATTTTCTCTTTAAAAGAAATTACCTGCGATATTTCATAGACAAATTTGTTTCATATTAGTTTTAACGCCTAGCCAAAGAACTTCACTTTGACGAAAATGTTTTGTATGATATACTTTCTAAGGAACCTTAATTAAGAAGCTTTCAAAATAACGTCTAACTATCCCAAAGAGCATGACAAATTCAGAATACTCATTTATACAGAGATCACTTAATATTTGAGAAAACGTTAATAGGAATTTATTAAAAAATCAGCCGGCCAAAAGGTGATTTGTTTTCTTACTGAAGTTCTAGAATTTGACAAATAATTCGCATTTAAAACTTATGGAATATTCAGAACGTTTTAGTCAGTTATTTTTAAAGACCATAGACTTTATACTAAGTTTCCTCAAATTTATGGTTCTTTAAAAAATAATAATCATTACAAGCAGCTTCAGTTACTAAATGTTATAGCTTTAGTTCTTTACTGAGTTAAAATATTCAATTATTATACGGTAGTATTGCAAATTTATTCACATACAATAATGCTTAATGAATCACCATAGTTCTTACCTTACCAGGTACCATAATTGGAAGTAACGTTAATAGCCCAGCATATAAAAAGCAGAGAACCACATTTCGGAATGCTAAAATTGTAATCCATAAATTTCTGTACATCCCCGGAAGCTCCATTTTAGGTGAATAGATTGTTTTAATGTATGGGGTAAGTCACGAAATAATTGATCTGAACACTCTTTCACCGCTAACCGTGAAAATTTGGCAATCTATTATATGGAATTAATTATGAGCTAAAATTAAAGTACAGGCTACATATAGAATCCATCTGTAAATCATCAGGATAATTCGAATGAAAATTATCACTTAAATTAGTAAAATGTGACTGTATAAGAAATAAAAGGAATTTCTAAATCACTTGCCTAACAGTAATAATTTAATAATTTCATTTTCTACAAATGAATGGTTACATTTAGAGTTAGTGGTGAAACATCGAGCATCATTTAAATTTGTTTATATAAGTGAAATTATTCAAAACACTAAGTTATAAAGTACATTCAGTGAAAAGTATGAAAACTGATGACTTCAGATTCACCATTATTCTAATAAGTCATTCTTGTTATTTTTGTACATTAAAAGACTATAAATGTCCCGGTTAACACTTACATGAAATCATGTGTAATGGTAAGTTTATTCATACAAGAATGTTACTAAAATTCAAGACTGATTATAAACACTCATATTTCGCATAAAACTTTTAAATAACATATTTTAATCATTAACAATTTCGTCACTCATATTGAAGTTTCAATTATATACAAGTGCATATTATAAATGAGTCATAAGTATTGCGTTACATTTTTATTTATATTTGAAGTTCAAATTGATGGATTTCGAAAAATCCCTATTAATAGCTATTTAATTACAAGGTGTCTGTTAATTATAGTTGGTTGGTTGGTATTTATTGTATTCGTTAGTCATTTTTTTTATTCATAAATTATTAGCTAAATGTGATTGTAATGGTTCTATTGTTTTGTTTTGTTTTCATAATGTAAGACACTTCGAAGTAATAACCGGGTAATAAATGTATGTTAAGTTTAAACTTGTGATCCCGTTAAACAGGTTATTGTGAATTCATTTAATTAAATTTAATTATATACAAAATAGTGAAATTAAATTTCAGAATTAGTCATTTATTATCAGAAGAATTAAATCCACATTATATAAATAACTGACGTACGAAAGACAGTAAGATAGCAAGGTTTTACAAATTAGTTCCCATCAATCTAAATTCAACGTTTATTTATATAAATGTAAGTTTTAATTTTGAAGATAGCCAGCTATCTTCATTCATTTTACAGTGACTCACTCCATTGCTACAACATATTTTAGGAAACTTATGGAGTGACGTTAAGTGTGAGATAGAATCTCCTAGTAAAAAAAAATATGGTGCAACTTCCAAATGAGTATTTTCAAGACTGTAATTACAACATTGTTAAAGTGATAAGTGAGTTCTAGTAACAATAAAGCTATAGTCCCTATCACATTTGAGATTATGATTGTGATTTGCAACAACATTTTAGTATAAAAAATCTTATTAAATAAAATGTTATACACATTGATAAAAAGCCAGATAAACTTTGATGTAAATCTGGATAGTTTAGTGAACAGTTTTTAAATATATCCACTTAAGTTGTATGGAAGTAAGGATATACTGATTCCACAATGACTGTGATACACCTAAACTGCCAAAGCATTTTAGTGCTATTCAACAGTGAGATATTATTAGAATACTAGTTTACCATGTTCAGCTATTGCTATATTGGCGGTTGAAAACACGAGTAGATCTAAACTGGATCACCAATGAAGACCTAGGAGGACTGGCCGTCCGTTTTGTTATAGCATGGGACTCGTCGGCAGTACTCATTCACGATCCCGACAGCACGACTCGAACCTAACATCGGTCTCGCGCGTGAAATCTTAACCTCTAGACCACTGAGCCGGCATCCAACGGTGTTAATGTCCATAATATTGCCCAATCCTTCATCCATTTCCTAAGGTGGATGATTGTCTCACACCCGACACAGATTGAGCTCCACTGGTCAGGACTTCTCACTAGAACTCCAGGAATTACATCCTAAAGCTAATCAGTAGTAAGCACATGAAGTATGAAGCGTTTGTGAAAATTGTAGTAGTTTCACAGTTGAACTTACCAATCAAACTAAGGTAGACTACCACTGAAAACCAGGAGACATTGGACGAACGTTTCTTCCTAGTATGGGGAGCCTCGAGTGTAGATCAACTAGTGATTTCAACTGTGAAAATACTAACATTTTCACAAACCCTCATACTGATATCATTTGTTACATATTAAAAAATATGAGCCATATTACAAAAATATAGTTTGTAGAGAATTTGGCTACATTTATTGCCATATAGTGATAAGTAGAGAGATTTTATGGTTTAATTTAAATATTGTAGATTTGCAGATTCGACGATCCAATATGTTAGAGTACGAACTTTAGTCTTTATTGTATCTCCTTGCAAAAAATTGATCAGCCAGTGAAATTCAGTTTATTCACCACAATACAGTTTAATCAAATTACTTGAACATTACATATGACACGATATGAAAGAATAACAATTACCATAGAAGTAATAAGTAGTACTCAGATGAATAATGAGGTGTATGTAAATATAATAACGTAAAAACATTAATCTACATATGATGAGCATGGATACGCCTGTTTCATAATATTATATTGCTAGTTTTTAGTATATGTTAAGGTTAATAAAATAATAATTGGATGGTGGCTAGCATTGTAATCCAGGACGTGCATTTAATCTTATATGGGACTCGTCAGCCGGATGTACCTGAATTTCAGAGTTGGTGTTCACTCTAGGACTCGAATTCAATACCGTTCAGTTCAAACGTCATCGCATTATCCACCTGATTACTGAGTTCTGATAGACACTGCCAGCCACTATCGATCTTTGCTTATAAAGCTTGGAACTTAAGACAATATCAAGGCAGTCTTCATAGGATGCACATATTCCAACAAGTGACTGATCAATTGTCATTATAAATAACAATGGGAAGATACAAGTAAACAATACCAAGTAAATTTAAATAATAAATGTATTTAAAAATACCTGGAGCATGAATAAAAAATTGACAGCTCGGAGTAGAAATATTGAAACAATTGAAATAGTGATACATATATACATATTTATATTCGTAAATGACATTGGCATGTGAATTTTTAATAATGATTGTATATGAATGAATGTTGACATACTGTACATAACTATAACTAAGGTATATCTATGTATCGTATACAAAGGTTTATTTAAAAGTCTAATTTATTCAATTAGCCTGTAATTTGAATTTTGTTTATAAAATATTTTTAAATTATAAACAGAAAATTTAAATTATAGTTTGATTTTTAAAACAAAGATTGAGTTATTAACACAAAAACAAAATTTGTCTTGAAGATGTCAAATTAATTATTTGTAATTAATATTCTGTTCTTTAAAATTAGATTGAGAGTTTGTGGGGATTGATTTTATTTAAATGTGTCTCATCATGAATTAACTCAACACAAAAAAAACAATTAATGAGATTTTTGAAGTGTCTATACGACTATGAAACTGAATCTGAAATATACAGCTCTCTCGTTGTGCATAACATGTTTTTCATTATCGGTATCTAAATTCAATGCTTCAGGTTTTCAGTTTTAATTAGCTTGTAATAAAACATATCTATCGAAATAATCATGTGATAAGTTTCATATCATGACGGTTAGTTATATGCCTTATACCTGCACATTAGAACTTTGAGTAAATCTTGTTCAAGCTAACGATTAGTGGATACCTATTTGGACATATTAGATAGATAGTTTGTGTTACTTATCAGCCATATGCTATAGGTACTTCGAATTAGTATAAGTGAAGTTTTTGTGATTTTGGATAGTTCAACGAAATTAATGACTACATGCCATTTTATTATTACAAACCAGGATTTTTTAGACGTGTTCGCACTAATCTAATTTATTAGTCGGTTAATAAAGAAAAAATTAATTATTTATGGTTAGCATTTGTAGAATCTTTATAATGAGGTTGTCGTTCATTAATCATAACAGTCCTATCGATTGAAGTGACAAAAATAGATATTAACTAATCGATGTGTAGTGCATCAGAAACTATGAGCGCTTATTACTTTAATATATTTATGTATAAAGATGAGACTATTTGATTAGATGATTTAGCCATGCAAATGAATGCCCTTAAAGTGAGGGAATGATTACTGTTAGGTTAATTCTTTTAAAAAGCTATTTTAAATGTAAGTGCAAATCTATTAAACGGTAGAAAGTTTCTAGTTATGACGAAATGAATAGTCAAAATTAGATTGATTTACTCATTACGATTTTTTGTTCAATATTAATTCCGTTTTAATTCAATGTGATGATTACCTAATGTAGTATTTGTTTTGTTTTCTCCTGTGACATGTTATTCTGTATAACATACGATATTCTTGTATTCAATGGACATGAACCATTCCCAGCATATGATTTGTTATAACGATGTATTTTTCATATATATGTGATTTTATTCTAAATAGTAATAAAAAATGGGTGTATGAATCAACATATAAATGTGCATTTCGGACTAGACTTGTCGTGGTTGTTTGTGCTTCTGGCTGCTTGTGGAATATATTTCTCTCTTTCGAACTTGGACTTTCTCTCTCTAGTTAGCTGAGCTGGGACGCGTCAGAATAGCTAGCTTATTGATCTTTGGCCACAGAGTCTTTGCTCCGTTCTCATATTAGATGAACTTGTAATCGCTTCAAACACAGCATTTCCAAATTAAAAAGCTGATTCTTTTTGTTTAACTGAAATATAAAATTATATTAAATAAATTAATATATTTGTAATATCCCAATGAGTAGAAAAATCAAATTTTCTGAAGTTTCGTGATTCAGTGTAAGCCACTTCCTCAAAGAATAATAATTCATCTACTTACTGGGATATTACAAATATATTAATTTTTTTATAACAATCTAACCAATACTCAATTTATTCAAAATTATCAAGTCAAAGCTTGGTAATGATACATGAAATTGTATTATCCACATCGTCTAATCATCTTTAAGTATACAAAATTTGAGATTTATTAAATATTCTATTTATCATCTACATCCACAAACAGAAAAGATATATGATATCAGTTAAATTAATTATAGAAGAATAAGATGGACACGTTACATTTCAATATGTTCTCCACAAATGCTTGTACTTGTGTAGAACCAGAATGAAGCGACTTTTAACACACTTATTGAAATAAAGTATTTTCTAAGTTAATCTAAATATCTCTTATATATTTATAAATTAACGATTTTTTTTACAGCTGATCTTGAAATACCTATCTTAGAAAGTGAGTGATGCAACGACACTTTATTTCAGGTGTTCCGACATGTATAATAAAGAAGGCATTTGAGATCAATACTATACAAAACACTAACTAGAGCTCTTCATGGCGGTGTTCAATTTACCATAGAACATGAAGAAAATATAGCTGTGCAACAGAAGGTAGACAGTATAAATCCTTGTTCATTTTATCGGAAGTGTATAAGACGTGGTTTGTACCGGAACTCGAATAATATTTTTTTAATCGGTTGCAGAATATTATTTTATAGAGCAGAAAAAAACATGAAGCACAGGTAAACTGCAAAATATTAATGAACTTTAGGGATTGTTTATGCAATAATCATTCATATTCATCTCAACTTTATATCTAATGATTTAATCTCACCCACTTAGTCTTTTACTACCTAACACAATAAAGTGTAGTCAGTTTATTCTATTCATACTATTGTTTTTCTGAAATTGATAAAGTGAATTATGTGTCTAAAACATCACTGTAGTCCATAGTAATTTTTCAACCACAAATAAATTTGATACGAATATAGATTAATGTGTCATAAAAACATTTACATCCGTATATTGATAACTGGACAGAATGATCATGATTGCTAAAAGGTAACAGATGGAATAATGATTGACTAATTCTAATTAATTGGAAGTTTTTATGAATGATTATTTAAAAAAGTTATTGTATTCAGTACCATCTTATTATCCAAAGTATTAAAATAGCCAAATAAACATAATTGAAGTTAGAGATCAACACCGTTGGATGCCGGCTCAGTGGTCTAGTGGTTAAGCGCTTGCGCGCGAGACTGATAGGTCCTCGGTCCGAATCTCGCGAGGCGAGATCGTGGATGCGCATTGCTGAGAAATCCTAGAACAGGACGAAACGACCGTACAGTGCTCCCAGGTTTCCCAAGGTGATCTACCTTCAATTGACTCAAGATCTTAACCATTAAAATTACTATAATATCCAAAAACCCCTTCTGATACTAAACAGAAAAATGTAAAAAAAGTGCAAATTACTAGGTCCGAATTTTGTGGTTTGGTGAATCAATTTTTAAATTGCAAATGACATAGGTGTAATAGAGTGATTTACTACAAAAATGTTAAAAATAGCCTGCCATGTGGTCATTAATACGTCAAATGGCTAAGATTAATGATGGATGAACAGTGTTGTCGATAGTTGATTACCTATCAAAATTTTGGTTTGACCAGAGATTTATAACAAAAACACCTCCTGGATTTAAATATTTTTCAGTTTTGGTTCAACAGTCGAAAAATTTGATAAATTTTATTTACTATACCTAATCAATTCATAAAGTTATAATTGCCATTTGTGATGTACGGAGCAATATATAAACGTAGTGTTCTGTAAATCTTTTATTTTTAATCTTTAAGGGATTTAAGATTATTTTCTTGTAAGTTAACTAATGCAGATACCCAATTCGGATCTTACTGAGACAGTAGTTAGATGTTATGAACATATGGTTAATTTATCAAACAATCTTTGACAGAAGAATACACATTGTTTAAAATAAGGTATTGGTTATTCAGTATAACAAAAATCAGTCATCAGTCCACTGCATCGGTTATTCACTTACGTATCATATTTACTTTAGTATAAGTGAATAACACGTGACATATAAATTCTTTTACAATTTATTTATAATAATTTTTTTAGTCACAAGTTAAAAATTTCCTAACCAACCAGAAAAAGGAAATTAATGATTTATGTTATATATAAAGGACATCCTCACGGTAACTTATAAGAATAATCTTATTAATAGTAAATGTACTGATCTCTCTGATATATCATGATGCATTTTGGACTAACTCAACGTGAACTACTTCAGTATACACAGACTACACAGCCGAATGTTTTGAAACCTGGAGTCATAGACGAAGTAGTGAACGTGTTATTGAAACACTATCGAGTGAGTGTAAATTAGTAAATCAGACTCATATTTCTTTATAATCATTTCCTATAATATTTCATTAGGCTTGAAAAAAGGAATTATATCGTTTATTTTCCTTCTTATTTTCAACCAACACGAGTTATTTTATAGTTAGTATACAATATTTCTGTTCTTACTTAGTAGTACTGATTTATTATAATTTAAATCAGACCAAAGTAGGTTATTTGTTTTATGTTTAACTCCGTATATTGAGATCTTGACTACATTACAGCAAGGCTATAATCTTGTGGAATAAAAATAATTATCAATAAAAATCAAGGTTAAAGTTACTTTTACATAAGAATTTCAACAAGGTTTTAAACTTTCTTTCATTACTATTCCTTAAATATCATCCTGAATGATAACTTCAAATATACGAGACAAAAACAGTTTATGAAGTCGTCTTCTGTGTTTGCATTACGTTATATCAGTTTTCTTTATAAAGAATAAAGAGGATTTTTTTCTATAAATGTTTACTAAATAAACTGTCACACAAACACATGCTTAACATTTTTTCCAGTGCTTGCTACATTTATATTCACTCGAGGTAAATTTCGTAACATCACATGCTACTTAGACTAATCAATATTATTCAACGCAACTAAGCTTCTAAATTGGGGACTGTGTATGATTTTCAACTTTGTGGGTATTTAAAAAGTACTTGTTTTCTACATTGATTTATTTTAACGGTTGTGTAAGGATGACTTAAGTTTCTTTTTAGTCTAACGTAATTGGTTTCATACAAAATCTAACAACTGATCGGTTTGCTAAACCAGACTTTTTCTACTATTATGTCTTAGACATTATTTATTGATTGTGTTGCAAATTTACAACAACTTTTTTCGTCATAAAATCAGTGTACTGTAACTACTTAAAATTAGTTGATAGTGTTGTATCTAGATAAATTAAGCTCGCAAAATAGTTTCTCAGTCGAGTTACCCAATCAAGCCGATAATTGAATGCTTAATAAAAATGTTAAGTATAAATTGCTTAAATATAAAATAGCTTATTTTCAATGGTGAACATCATCTCTCTCTTGTCTTTATTTAAAGACATGAAATTTTTATTATTCAGAAAATGATTAGACTCATAATTATTCATGTATGCTATGAAAATAACATAAATTGAGAAAAATTATTTATAAAACATGTATATCAACACACCTTTAACCGTATATTATTTTTTGGACATGTTCAACCTGATTGATTTTCGTAATTTTTTCTAAATTACGTTATTACTACATTCTTCTGTAAATCAATAAACCAGCGTTATTACAGACTCTAAAAGATTTTGTCAGAAGATAGGAAAACTTTTCTCCTTCACCCAGTAATATGGAAGCCTTGAAAGTTACAAGTCACAATAAATCAATAAGTCTTCAAACGTTGTCATAGTAACTAACACTAGTAAAAAGCAACACCATTCTGGTCTCACTTATCGGTTCAACAGTAATCCCATAATTTTGTAGTGATCAGGACTGAATTAACAACATACACATGATATATTTTCCTTAGTTCAAATATATTTTTGGGAACTGTATTCGTGGGTTTATATTATTAACAAACATCTACTCAAACTTGCAACTTCCTTTTCAAACTTTGATTCAGTTGTTTCCTTGTAAACTTTACTCCAGAAAACGAAAATGTTTTTATATAATTAATTAATTTTATGATTATGGTGAAATATTGCATATGTGAACTTCATGAAAACTAATAATTTTCGAATTACGTTTTTAGTTGATCCTTGATCGTATCAGGAATTACAAACCGTTTTTAATAGAAGAAAGCAAAACAAAAATATGTATATACTGATCGCACACTAGTGAGCGAATAATATTGACAAGTTAGGACCAATTAGACGTTTTATGAATATTCAGTTTGAAGATTCCCTATATTTGTGAAATCGGTGTTTAATACAACAAACTTTATTATCTATATAATCTATTTTAAACAATCAAAGAAAATTTTTTTTTGAATTTTCAAATAATGGGTCGAACTAATATACACGTTCAATTTAAAACGTACCTCTACGAGCTCAATCAACCCTAATATCACTAACACTTTAATGTCATTTTATTAACATATTAGTGTGTATAGTTGTGACCAATGGAATAAATAATTCAGAAGTAACTGTAATTAGAAAAGTTTGATTCTTATTTTTCAAACTCTTTAAGTCGAAATAATGGATACTTTTTTCAACTAATTTTTCATGTGATTGATATAAAAATTCACGAGGTTAAACCTCAGAGTTGACATTCCTGACAATTTGAGAATGTACTCTTAAATATTTCATCCTGGACGTTTTATTATTAGCAAGCTATAACAACCAACTCTAATATAATCAACAATATTTTATTTTATAGAAATGTGAAGATGAACGAATCCACAGTTTAGCTGAAGTCGAACGTAAACGTATGCAAAATCTGGAAGCAGAAACTGAACTAAAACAGATACATTTATGTTTAAAGAGAGAACCTAAATGTCAGACTAAGAAACTGACCAGGAAAACTGTAAAGCCATCCATAGATTGGATGGAAACCCAGAAACCCGGGATGCATCCCCCACCCGATTCAAACAAGTGCAAAGTGAGTTTGGGTGAAATATTTTTATTTAAACGTTTAACTGAACATAAAAAACTATTTAGAAATAGGAAAGATGTATTTCCTTTACATTTTTTACGTATGTTAATTCTGTTCCTACGTTAGAAAATTCTTAAAAAGATACCTAGAACATTTCAACCATCACTCTACCTTGATGGTAACGAACTGTTGTATAAACGAAAAGTCAGTTTATAGTCTAGGTCAGTGCTAATAAAAAAGTATCACAAACAGTAATAGTGATTAATTAAAAATGATACCTAACGTATAAGTCTGATATTAGCACTTCAAAAATCACTGAACAGTCTTTTGGGATAGCTGGTTATATAAAAATTGTTTAGAATGAACAATTAGAAAACTGATGATTCTACATGGAATATTTCGCATATTCATGTGTTATAATAAACAGAAAACAACGGAATTTTCTGCCAGAGTGTTAGTAATTGTTTTACAGAAATACTTACAGATAGAGACTTAGCAATTAAATGAATAAAATCTTATAATGGAATTATATCTCTTCGCTTATACACACTTGAATAAATTGAATGAACTAAAATCAGCAACTAGATCAGACTTACGTTACTATCTTCTACGTTGTATTTAGAACTGACTCAGTCGTAGAACGAAAGCAATTAAAAAAATGTCATTGAAAGATTAAAATTTGTTGCTGGACCACTAATATTAAAACTAATATTCACAGTTCTCACTGAACAATTTAAATTTTAATAGAAGACAAAGAAAATACATAACCTGATAGTTCGATGTTATATAATATATTATGACAATGTTTGTTTACGGTAACTGATAGCGTTTATAAAATCACGTCGTTAAAAGTGTTAACAACTTATTTTATAAGTTTGAATAAAGGTCAAACGTATTAAATTTTCAGAAATCCATCAAACACACTAATGAAACAATCAACAATTGTAAATGATGACTTATTGATCAAGAAAGTGTATATATCTTCCTTTAATTCGATCATTCTAACATTATGCGTTTTTTCAACCGACTCGTATTAAGGAAGAGGATAGTTTGGAAACGTCAAGCTATGACCGAGCTATGAAGTCAATAATTTAAGTCATATGACCTCTTTTTTCAATATCTCAACTCTGTGCAAGTCACAAATTAGTTTTGACTTTGAATGTTTTGAAATTTTTTCCCTAGTATCATATGCCATTTGAGTCCTTATTTAGGAAGATAAAACATTGATTTTCTCAAGTACACTCCATATAAAATATAGTCATGTGAGGTATGCACTTTTCGTTAGTTTCTTGAAATTTATTACAAAGAAACAATTAAAAAATTTTCATTATTATATTTTATTGGTAGTAACCCAAACATCTGATCACTGATTAAGTTAAAATGGATACTATAGTTACCTAAAAGTACAGAAGATGAATTTTAAGCAAATGGAATGGAAACTTAAGGTTAAGTACGATAACAATCATTTTATTGTTTAATCAAGTATATTAAGGAAGTGTGCTAAAACGTTGAGTCTATTTCAATAGAAAACAGGAATTATAAAACGCATAACTCCAGACTTTCCTAAATATATCCGTTATTTACCTATTCAAATCTAAGCTCGGTTCTATGTTGTTTTCGAATAGATGTGGAGGAGAAACCGAAAGAATTCACTAAAATGTTATGAAGACTATGACTTCAGAGATAGAAGAAATCTCATATATATATATATATATATATATATATATATATATATATATATCAATGACCGTATACGTTTGCGATGATTTCGCTTATGATTTGTATGAAAACCAGGTTATTAAGTATATTTCTAAGTGCAATAAAACTACCATGTTTTAGATGTTATTCGGTGCAACCAACCAATTTTTTGAATTTAAGTATGCTTAAAAATCTTAAAACACAATAAACTCATAACTGTTAACTTTACAGTCACTCATATTCAGTACACAAACCTGTTTCTTACGAGCTAAAATGTAGAGTACATAAGGTCGACCATTTTTTATGTTGTTGATTTCGTTCGGTTAAGGGTTTGTTTATCTAGTTAATCCTATTAAAATATAAAATAACCCTGAATATACGTATTTATGTATAAAGTTAAGTAGGTAAAACGTTTGAATCGCTGAATATTTATACTGATTTATTGTTACTTGAAGACACTTTGAAGGAACTTAAGTAGGAAAATCCAAAAGAGCTACCCAATGAGTTGGATGTATTTTCCGGTGAACTATAAAATTTCATGTTTTCTTGAGTATTGAAAAGTACTGATGAACAAAGTTTCAACCACTTATTTTTAAGTCTGATGATTCGTATCTGTTATGAGTACTCTTACTTTAAGTATTAAATGAATGGTCATATAATTAAATTTCATCTAAAATTATGAACTCATTCAAATACCGAAACACATTCTATGACCTCATCATTTTCATCAAAGTTGCTGCCGATTTTGTTTGGTCATGTTCCTTCCAAAAGAATTATTAAAGAATTAGATATCTATTTATATTTTTACCATACCTAAACCATGATTAACGAGAAAAGCAAACATTTACCATCAGTAATATGATATTCCTTTGGGAACCTGAACAAAATTGTTTGTGCTTTCGTTCTTTTAACATAAAAGAATGAATATTTCATAGTAAGCATGTCTGTTAGAAATGAGTCAAAATATAACTCAGAAATTTAGTTTGACATGTTAGTTAAAGGACGTAGTATATTGGTACTGTAAATGGTCTACACGCATCAAATTCATGTTTAATAAACGTCAACTGCCGTCAATTAGCTGGATTCAAATTTTACTTCTGACTACATATATGATTGCAGTTTTTGCACAGTGTTTAAATCAGTGGTTGATGAGTAAATAAATCATCATTGAGCCAAATCGGTCTTGTTCTGTCGTAACAGGTAGCAAGTAGTAGTTCTTCAGAAATATCTCTAGTAATACCAGTTCTTCATCAACATTCAGTAGTATCCCAAACTATAACAACATTTATAGACATTTTAAATAACTTGAATTATAATAAGTATAAAAGTTCTAGAAGAGTTAAACTTATTAACTATGAGAATTCGTACAAAATCAACGTTTCCATTTTTTTAATATTTCCTTAAAGAAAATAAAAGATGATGATCTATTAGCTAAGGCAGAAAACGATATTTACAACCAAACAGATAATGATCCAAAAAACAGATATACTGATGTAAACCATTCAAATCGGCTAAAAGAATTAGATCCAGATGCATGCTTACATTTACCTCTTGGTTTGGTAAGAAATCCTACTCCAAGAACAAAGAAGTTTTTATCATCTGAGGTACGTTATTTTTAAATTGATGATTCATATTTATTATTAAGCCATCTATATTGTGTTTTTAAACTAGTTAAGTATATGTTTATATTCAATTTAGTTTACCTGAACTAGTATTAATATTTATTGTACATATACATTATATATAAACATACTAATTCTCTAATAAGCAATCCAGTTTGGTGATGAAGTGATCTTTAAAATGGTCACATTAATCTACAACGCATAGTTTTATAAATGTAAACCAAAACGCTTTTTATTGATTTAATAACATTTGTGTGAGACATAACACTTCATTTTTGAATCTTTATTTTATTCATCAAAAACATTAAATTATGTTTGTTTAACTTTTGTTTAAATTTCAAAAATCGTTTAGACTAATGAATCACTTTATGCTACGGCAAATCAAATAGTTTATTCATCATCTGATGATCAAGCACAGAAACGCTGACAAGGAAAGGGAGCAACAATTTAATTCGGTTGTTAGAATATTGTTTAATGAGTATTTTTCTAAAGAAAACAATAAATATTTACAAAAACCGTTTTGTTGATGTTTTGATTGCCATTGTAAAATTTTCTATTTTCAGTCATGTTATCGGTAATCAGTTAAGTCAAAAAAAGTTTATTTCACTCCAGTTTTAGCATTACTCGGCTTTTTAACGATTCAGTAGTTTGTATTCCAGCAAGTAAAAGTTACATCATAAACAGTTTTAAGTGAATTTTAATTAATTAAACTTTTAGACATTATTAACATTCTTTGTTGGGAGTCATTAAAATGATACATAATATACATAGTCACTCTCACAGAACATATAAATATACATTAAGTTAGTAGTAAAACTAAACTTTAAATATCAAGAAAGGATCAGTTAATATCATTATTAGTAAGGGCTTGAATTATTCTGTTGATAATATCCATAACTGCGCTTTGATTAGTGATTGTTAGCATAAGTAAATCCTGTAATGAATATCTTAAGTCGTTTTGAACAGATGAAGTGTAGCTAACAGTGGAATCCAGTATGTAAGTTACTGTCTGTTTAGAACTGATCAGGCGGATTTACCTCCACTTACACATTGATTTTCACATTAGGACATTAGTACATCCAGCTGACAAGTCCTGAATAAAACAAAGCACGTGTCTTGAATTCCACTGCTTGACATTGGGCTTCATATAGAGATTCAAAGGAAAATACACCATTCATGGCGTATATGTTTCCCATAATGTTGTTAAGTCGCAACTATGAAATAACAATCCAGTGTTGGTGGTTGCAAGTAAAATTTAAATGTATTTTTGTGCTAATCATAGCTGGTCATGATGGCTTATACTAGTTTTGGTAAAACTGATACCTTCCGTATGATTTAAAACCACTTCATTAAACGTCACATTCAGAGATGTTACCACTAAGCTATTCATGCTGTGACTGACCTTTGGAAGGACTAAGACATTTACATTGGCTTACCATTGAGTAAAAATCAAGATATTACTTATCTAGTTCATACTCATGATTGATGGGAGTAAGGATATCAGCCCTATAAGAGATCATTCACTATACGACCGTGTCACTGGTAAGGCCTCTGAATGTGACATTGGACAGTATTGATTCGGATCATGCTGGAGGCGTTTGTTTTCTAAAAATACGTATTAGTAAATAGTACCTTCTATTAATGACCGATAGAACCCATTTAATAGAGTTGACAAGCGTGATGTTACTAATCATTACAAATAATGATAACATTTGTTTTGCGGCAGTGTTTAACTACGATTTTTAAGTGAGAGATAAATTCTTGAAAATAGCAGAGCCAGCCTATCCTGAACTTAAAAGAAATGCGTTATAGTTACTAATATACATAACATTAAATAATTGTCATTGTGAAAAAAATTGTGACTGAGCAATCACCGTGACGTGACTAATGTAATGTTTGTTTGGGTCTTTAGAGCTGATTCAATTCTGTCGATCAAGTTGCAATAATGTCAATAGTCAAAGTTACTCAACATAAAATTCGTGATGTTGAGACTAGTAGTTAATTATTCAAACTGTGGATTATACCAACTATCTACTAAATACGTACGTTTATAACGAGATCTTAATTAATTTTTAAGTATTTGAGTTTGAGTTAGAATCATTTACGTGGAGTTTTATTCTCTCAGTTCTATGGTTTGGTCGTGGAGCTTTCGTTGTTCTTCTGAACAACATCAACACAAACTTTGCGTAGAAGCGAAGTGTTTGAATTTCTCAACACATGACTCACAGCTTATCCTGTAGACCTCGATGTTGATTGGTTATTGTTGACCATTAATCTGTCATTGTTTACTGCTTTATTTTGATTATAACTCCCATTGATTTGATTCTTGTTCCTATATTTGCCCATGAGTTTTCTGATTGGTTGATAGAATGGATCGATCTCAATATGTTTTTGTTGATTGACCTAAATGTCAAGCTTCTAAAAATTCCCTGGTGTTTTTAAAATTCCCTCTATGCAAGATCGCAAAATTTTTCCAGTCAAATGTGTGTTCATAGTTGTTCACATGCGTTGATATAAGCGAGAATATGTCATGGCACTTGACCACTAAATGATACTAGTGCAAGCAAAGATGAAAGAAGTGTCCACTTTGTCTGATGTAGTGTTTTTCGCAGTTGGAACAATTTATTTTATGGATGATTCTCGGTCTTTCTTCTTTATCACTTTGTCCTTTGCTTTGCATAGAATTGACTGAAGTGACACCTGATTTGTGCTACACTTATTCCAAATGGCTTCAATAATCTTGTAATTTCTGAAGTCTTTTATATATGGTAGGATGATCTGTTTGTTGTTTCTGTACTTGATTTTGTTTTTGCCGATACGTTGTGTTGATTTTTTTTTGAAGAAGTTGATTGGGTAGCCGTTCTTTTGAAAGATTGTCTTTAGATATTTTTCATTTTTCCGTGCTAAATAAAATGTATTTAGCAGCGCACTTGTTATAAAAACGGAATAGTCACGTGTAAAAATTTATGATTTATTATGAATTAAAGTTGTCTCCTTGTAAGGTAAACTGAATTTTGTTATTATCTAATAGTTTTTTATGTCACATACTTTGGGGTTACTGTTTTTAACCAACAGAGAACTGCCTCAGTTTGCTCTCAATTATAAAACATAATAACGATAAATTATCCTTAATATATTCCCTTAGACCTTCTTACAATTTCTCAGAACAGAAAAGGGAATTGAAACCTTTCAGTGGAGCTTGCATCTCTATCTGACGTAATTCCCAGATCAATTTTTATCACCAATCTAACTCCAGTTTCAAACTCTTCCTGAATACTTAGTCTTTAATCAGTTCACTGAAACATCCAGGTAATAATGCATTACTAACTACTCTAAGGTTAATTTAAACGATATTTAAAATTATAAGCACATATGCCAATAAGAGACTGATCAATTTCAGTCCTAAACACATCAATGGGAAGATTCAAGTAAAACAATACCAACTGATATTTAAAATTGTTTTAGATTTTAACGTTAGTTGTCAATTTTAGAAAACGTTTCGTTCTGCCTTACCTGTTTATGAGACATAAAAGCGTAAAACGAGTAACATTCCTTTACAAATTATCTATGGCTTGAAATTGCTCGTTCCTGCTTTATTCAGTATCCTATGAACCAATTCTTTTTTGCTGTTTCATTCACGACCGATCATAAGCAAAAGTTCGACACATTTTAATGAAACTCAAATCGCCATTCGAGAACGAACCGAAAATCACAATAAGACGAACAGGTCACAAATTTCATGAAATTAATTGTTTACTCATACAGTTTATGTCCTATTCTTCATATTACGATTCCTTTTTGAACATCTGTCTCAATTTCAATAGTTAATATCAAACCTTTGTCCGTTATTCCCACTATAATTACAGAAAAGCCAAGTGAAAGCAGAATTTTGTTGATTTATTCATATCCATTTTCAATTCACGTGGTGATAATAACAAAAATACTGTCATATCTTTTACTAGTTGATGGCAAACATTTAAGCTTTTGTTCAACGTACTAAATATTCTAATAAAATTACTACTTATGATCACGCTAAGGCGAAAATATTTTGTTGAATTACTTCAAGCCAATTCTTCATTTATGTATTTGAACTATTGTATTCTCGAGTTAACTTACCTGTGTTTTGTTAGCGAATATGTGCACTGATTTATGTATGAGGCTTACTTACTTACACCTGTTACCCTTCGTGGGGCATAAGCTACCATACGAGGGTTCGCCAACCAACTCTATGCTGGGCACTTTTTCCAGTTACTTCTAAGTGCTATTCACCCTTTCGATGTCTCCCTTCAACTCTCGAAGTTAATTTAATGTGTTGATATCACATAAACTATACGTAGTTTCTTAACTTTACTCAGCTTTTTAGCATCATAAACAATAGCAAACCAAGTATGTCATTTAGCAATCTTCGGAAATTTCAATATAGTTTTGATAATTAAAATGAATGTAATGTCTTTCCAGTTAGTTCTTATTTTGACCAGAGCACTTATCGATAAATTTGATGATTTAAAAAAAAAAACAGATCTTAGTGTTCACATAGATCAAATCAGTCCTCATTGAATCAAGCAGCTGAGACTAAATGGTTTCAATTTCTAACTTCAATCCGTGAAAGTTCAAATCTGTTCGATGCTGTGCAAACAATGTTTACATAGATGATAGTAGTTATGCATTGACATCCAGCTCACAGTGTTTCATACAATTATTCGAACGAATAGATTGTTCAGTATATTATTAATGATAGATTTTAAGTAATGATAGGAAGTTATGTTATTTTCGTACCACGTGTTGAATTAATTCTAAACGCTAGTTCTGTGGATACATATTTTCTGATTAGTTAATTCTAATTTTCAAAAATTTCTTTGGATATAGATATAGTTGAAACCTCAATGGGAATGAAAATATGTGGGTGTTTCAAGAAAAATTTCCCATAGATAATGCTACGTGAACTTCTAGCAGCTAGTTTATCATGTCTCAATGATAAAAGAATCACATACAATCTACTAGGTCCAATGTACTTATGGTTCATTATTTCAAGCTTTAAACGTGATTCGTTCGACCAAACCGAACCTTCATATATTATTCATCCAAACGTCCCAGTTCATTATTTATATCTTCATTTCCTTCCCAGATGCAATATTATTGGTTTTTATGAAATACGTATGCAAAATAAGTCATATAATTTTTAGTAAATGGTATATAACCGACCGACTTTTTCACAAAGATGAATAGGAAGAAATTATTACGAACTCATATGAGAAATAAAAAATGTTACAGAGAAAAGAATAGTTTATTTCTCATGGGAAAAATTTATTTTAGAATGTACTTTGTATGGCGCAAAAGATCAAACATTCTTCTAAGTAATTGTTACATAGGAATTATCGAAATAATCGCCGTTCCCATTCGAAAAATATTGTTTACAGTGGATTGTACAGCCATCGATTTTGAAAACAACACAAAAAGATAAATTTCAAAAGTCAATCTGTGGTGTTATTATTCATAAACATGACATAACTAATGCAGTTAACATTCGTAAGGTTTATTTATTTACATGCTTTTAGCATCGAGCGAAGCTTGTAATTAATAAAATGGGACTTTCATATATCAATCAAGCTAGACAGCTTTTATTAATGCAAGTGATCACATGATTTATGCTAATTTCATTTTTAGTTGGAATAATAAAATATCTCATAAAATGGAACCAAAGGTTGGATAATGTAGTACAGATCGAGTGTTCAGGATTTGATAATCTTGATAAAAAATATATCGACTAATAGATAAAGTAATGGAAACTATAAGCAGTCTTAAGATCTGTATCTGTATAAACTGAAATACGACAAATTGTGCATCAGTACCCACAAACCTTAAGAGTTCTCAAAATTTTTTCTGTCTTACGTAAACAGCTGACTCATTAACATCTTCAAATCAGTACCCGAGATCACGTGATGTAAGAATTTAATAGCTTTGTTTGTGACCTAATGGCAGTTCAGTGTTATTTCAAGATAAAAGCGATGGCGGCAACGATAAAAGTAATAATCCTTACTACCAATATGCGTAAACTGTCTTCCTAGCCAGTTCGTATAACACTAACTACTTCTACACGTCAACTGAGACAGTAGAGAAAAGGCGCAAATATTGATTAAATGCTTTACTCCAAGCTTAGTTTGTGAACCCAATGAAAACCTTAATTGATTCTATTCAGTGCTGATTGAACAAGACGCTTCCTGGAGTTTCCGAGCCGCTAGAGGCTTCGACGAAGGATATTTTCGGACTTCTCAAACAAAAGTAATCTCACATCTCATTTTATTAATCAATTCCCAGATTAGTTAGTGATTGAACGTCTTTCATGTATATTTCAAATTTAACTTAATGTTGAATCATCTTGCGAACCTCATTGTTTGTCACTTTATACCTTTTGTTGATCTATATTGTATATTAACAGAATTTACTAATTTGAACCTTAATAATTCTTTCTCTATACACTGTATCGAAGTCTCTGATAATAATTCTCAAATCGATCTTATCCATAAGTATACATAAATGCTTTTCGTTTCGCTAAGCAAACTGTCTTCACAAATGCTCAATACTTGTGATGACAGTAGTACTTATTATTTCAGGTTCGTTGGAAGTCAATCACGATATAATAATGATACATTTATATTTTTCAGTAAATTTTAGTAAAAACAATATATAATATGTAAAAGTAAAAAAATGATTGAGATTTCCAGGTATATCACAAGCTTTAAGAAAACTTTGTCCGTACAAAAACAGCGAAATTAACTACAGCTCACACTGACAGACATAAACGGCTTAACGTTCGTTTCGTTCTTTGGTCGTTATATGAAACACGAATATTATGGGAAAATGTTTGGTACACAGTGGTTCTTCTACATACTTCAAGTGTTGTTTGCTTGTAAACACAAAATATTTCAGAAATCAATAACTTTTTATGAGCATAGTTACTGCTTATTACTCAATCTAGATATGGCACATCACTTATATTTTTGTAAGGACAATGTACTATAAAAAGCAATGAACAACTATCAACTCTACAGACTTATTTGGTAGTTCTCGAGGTCAGTTACAGTAATGTCAATAAAATATGAAATCTGTCCTTTCTTGATGTTATTATTAGGCAATCACGTAACTCGATGACAACAAAGTTTAAATCATGATTTACCTAGACAATATCCTATAGAAAAAAGGTTCATTTCAGGTATGAGACAAAAATCAACTTAACAGACATGAGATTTCACTACATTTTAGGATGAGTCCCATAAACCAAGACTTTTTCGTGTCTGAGTACACGTATTTGTATTGATTTTAAAAACTGCCCAAAATAACTATTTTAAATTCCGAAAATACTCCATACATTCAACCTGTTCAGATCAGTAAAATAATATTGTCTGTCATGATGTGATTTGTGATAATTTGAGATTTCTTATAATAAACGAAGGACGTTTCATTCTTTTTATTTATAATGCAGCTACCTTGAGGGTACAACATGTAATCTTATTAATTCATTAATTTAAACACATAAACATTGGTACAAGGAGGCACCAAAAAGATGTGCTACACAAATCATCCAATTTGTGTAGGGGCTGGAATACTGCGCAAACCGAAGCAGGTGGTTCTCATAGGAGGACACTCCCGAAGCCTTCGAACAAAAAGTCCAATCCACAAGGCAGTGGAGCAACGTTAGTTGACGCAGTCCCATGGCAGTCGGTGATCAATAATTGGTCCATATGTCATTCGTCCCTCAGGATCCTGGAGCCCATGTGCACCATTGGTTTGGAATCAGGGTTTTCGAACTCCCTTTGGTGGACCCTCCGTATCTACCAACCCACTTGAACGTCCAGACATTCACTTTTCGTCCTCGATTTCGTAAACGACACTCCCATCACGAGAAGACAGTGAGTATGACTACCCTGGCAGAGGCCACATACGTGTAGCCACGTGAGAGCATCTCGAGTGAAAGAGCTAACTCTCCCCATCCTCAGCTGAACCAGGGCATCTTGGCGCATATGTAATCAAAGTGGATTATCTTTTTAAGTTCATTTTCTCATTCATACGTATCACCATAAAACTTCGTTGAATGCTCTCAGCAATCACTTTAATATTCTCAACAATGAAGCAAAATAAAATGCTGTCATTTCTGCATCCACATAGAACACAATTACCAGTTATTTCGAAAACAATCACTTCACAATCATACTCTTAGTTTTAGTTACGACGCCGATCCCTAGTAAAACGTGAAACAAGAAAATACTTGGAGGAATACCTGACGAAATTTAGGATCATGACGTCTTTATACTAATTCGGGATATTTGGACTCAGATTCGTGCATATATCCATCTTTGAATTCTTGAATGTCCATATTAACAATAGTTTGGAGTTTTAAAAAGTGATTGAAAACAGAGATTCAATGAAGATTTAATGGTTTTATTGGACTAGAAGAATTTAATATGCCAAGTTCCATACTAGGACTACAGATTTCAGTAAGTGTTATTACATAGAAACTAAATAAAAGATAAGCTATACTATTTTAATGAACGAGCACATAATAGAGACAATCGAATGTATTTGAATACAAAATTACAGAATTTCTTAGTAAAATCTGTAGACCATACAGCAAATACTTCATTTGCAAAATATCAAACTATCGTCTCCGACTTCATTGTTCTTTCGTTTCCATACCAATCATTTTCTGTTCTCGTTCCCTTTTCTTCGATCTTTTTAACCCTCTGCCGCCAGGTATTTCACTTTCAATTGATGACACATACTACTTATATTTATCGACATCAGTAGCACACACCACACTATGACTAGTTGTACTAAGATTTCAATAATGCCAGGGTCAATACATGACCTAACAGACAACTAGTTTATTATTTTGATGAACGAGTCATCCTGAGGTGAATGTATTCACACGGTGTAGACTGCTAGTAGATAAAACTATGTACTTACTAGCTATTATTAATATAGGAAAATTCGGGAATATTAGCCCAAAGTATAAAAAATTCATCAATATTTCATAGTTTGTCGAGAACGTCAATACAATTGTTTTTTAGTAGCGGTGATTCGTATGTTCGTTCCCATGATATAAAATGTGTCAAAATAATTGTTACACAATTAAGACCACACAACAACAATTTCAACATTCGTTTTACTTCACATACATATATACCTCATATCACAGCGATACATTAACCTGAATGAACACATGATTATTTTTTAAGGAAAGAAAAACAGTGATAAATATACTTTTTGTTATATCCCAATAAGTGAAAAAAATTGTATTTTTGACGTTCCGTGACTTAATGCAGGCTAATTCTTCAGACTAAATATTTATTTATCATTAACCCAATGCTCAACTTATTTGAAACTATCAGGTCCAACCTTGCTATTGAAAAAGACAGTGTTTGCATTTTCTGGGAAATAAACAATAACAAAGCTTTAAGGAGCTTCATCAGAAGAATTATTATGATTATTATCTTCGTTCTCCAAGCCAACTGTACGAATATCAATCATATCTAACACTTGTCTAAGAGTAGCAGAGAACGTTTCCGCTGCTGAACGTACGATTCCACCAATACTACCAGAAGCATTTTCACTGACTATTGGTGCACCAGAAGGACCACGAAGAGCCAATTCAGCATTTATAGAGCTTGAGGGTAAGAATGATGATAGAAGACCGTTGAGAAATCCACTTCCAGCCATAGTTTCACGAACGCGACGTCTATATGAAATTTATCAAAAATACTTAGCTTTAGGAAAATAAAAATCCCTAATTGGCATTTTCATTTAAGAAAACCACTCCATCTACGGTATCAGAGATAAACAGTAAAACAATAAACAAATCCTAAAATAGAAATCAACCGTAAAGTTAATAGTGTCCGACAGTAAAAAAAGGCAAACACTTGAAAACGTAGATCAAACAAACCAAATACTTATAAGCATGATATCTTTTGACCAACCTTTCTTCTTCTGGATCGTAAATATTGATAGAACTTCTGGGTGGAAGAGGATCAAATGTATAGATAGGAGAACTTGTTAAATTCTAAACGAAAAAAAAAGCATTTAGCAAAAGAACAGAGGTTTCTACTAAGCGCCAAAAAACCAAATACATAAGTAAAATTATATATATTAATATCGTTTTGTAATACACTCTCATTTTTTAATTTCTTCACAGGATTCGTATTTGCACATGAACTGTCGAAAAAGCTGTATTATGTATGCCTCGACATTTGTTACATTGATATTTATATTCCTTAAATGTCTAGGTAAGATTTTAGCGGATCTGACCAGTGAAGTGGTGGTTTGGCTGTTTGAGCAGTCGACTTTACACTAATAGGCTGCAAATTTGAACCCTGAACATTTACTTCAATTTCGGTAGCAATGTAGTATTATTAAGTCTCATATCTCAAGTACATTCCAAAGCTAATTATTCAATTTTATATTTAGCAAATAAATTACACATTTGGCCGATAATGTAGTAAAGGTCAACATTAGCCAGCAATTGATACAGTCGGTCAAATTAGTTAAGTAACCTCGGTTGTGAAACAAATCATGTACATACTGACATTTAAAATGAAGTTCGGAATAATTCAAGTTACTTGCGCATTACATCATACATCAAATACAGTATTTTTTAGAACTAGAAGCATTTTTCATCATGCTTGTGAGAAATTTTACAAAAGACAGTAATCGTAGTAAATATTGAAAATGGTTATATTGCACACAGCATGCTCAAAAGAAATGTGAGTAAAACTCATAGGTATAGTGATGACCGATACTAGCTAATTGAATCGAAGTATCACCGTAACAAGTGGATCTAAACCGAATAAATTTCAATTAAACACTTGCTAAACTGCCAATAACTCTTGACTAAACTGCAAGCTGTTGAGAAGGTAAAAGAAAATAGAAAGTTTGTTTCCAAATCTAAGTGATAATTTTACAGGAAAAAGTATATGGGTGTTTGTAGAATTTCTTGTTTTGCGAATCCACTTATGGAGCTTGGTTTAATGGTACAGACGTGGCTTAAAATTAGAAATAACAATCATTTTAAGAAATCTTTTTCACCTGACTTTTGTCAGATTTTCTGGAAACATTGCACCTACGAACAGATATTCTGTTTCATAAAAGAATTTAATCCTTTCAGTTATCGTACCGTTATTGGAACATTCGTATGACATTATCACATATCCACAACCCGAAATACAAGGCAACTAATGCTACATATTAATGCTAATATATTACATACCACATGACTACCTCACGAAATTATAACTTCAAAACTTCTAACAAACTGGAAGCTAATGAATTATATGTTAGTTTTGGAAATATCAATAGTAGGATTCGAAAGTGCTAGTCGTAAGAGTAACGTATTTACCAGAATCTTAGGGTCTTGTCTTTTGATTTATAATTAAAAAGAGACATCAATGGTATACTATAAATATTTTTCACAATAAAAATATCTATCACGTTTCTTATTTAATATTTGCATCAACGATATTAAGTGTTAGTGAAACATTTTATAACTGTTGTTTTTGTTAAATTTTTATAGAGAATTTTATATAACTGGTACATCACTAACTCGGGGTAAAATGGGTGGAGCTTCAGAAACTTCGGACAAAATCAGGTGCCTCAAAATCTTCGGTGGAAAAGCAGGATAAAGAGTTTTTCGTCTAAATGAACAAAGAAGAACAAAGATTACATGGTTTCATTAGTGTAATCAGGTTATTTTGTGAATTATCTACGTAAAAATTGGGGAATAGGCTTGACACTAAATACAAATATTTAGCAAATTTTCATAAGCTAGTTTTTTTCTTGAGAGTTTTAGTTAGATCATAGGTTGTAGTTATTTGTAACATTCTCAATCAACCTAATGTCCATTTTCCCTTTCATTTAGTATGTGAACGCCGCATATAAGAATGTAATTTTCATTCGCGGTTTCATTATGACCGTTAACTTTTATTATGTTCGTGCGTTTCATCCAGCATGTTGAGCTATGCTGCACTGACATATTCATAGCAGACAGTTACGGATAACTCCAGACGCTTGACATGGAGGGAATAAAAAAATCTTACTCTGACCTGCAGTATTCATTGACTAAACGAACAGAAAAATGTCTGAAAGTACTTGATTCAATATGTGTATTGAACATTGAAACTTTGAGGATAACTTCAGTTGACTTGACTAATTATATCAAATAACTGTGTATAAGGTTACGTGCTCGGTTTTGTACGATATATTTTATTTGGAAGCAAGTAATAATTACTTGGCTGATAAAAAACGAATGTAGACCCCAGTTTGAACAAGTTATTCTGTGGTAAAAAGTGAAACGACAGTAACGAATTGAGCCAATTTCATCAGTTTAAGGTGAACAGTATAATATGGTAGAAATATCTTTGAATTAATAAAATTAACATCCTAAGTTGTGAGTGACAACGAACATGTCATGGTCTATGATAATCTCCTACCATTCTAGCTTAATTGAGCGGAATAGCGTGTTGAATCCTCAACTTAATGGTTAAGTATTTAGATTATGAAGCATCGAATACCGAAAAATACGGGGTACTTCAGTTGGTAATTTCAGCAGTTACTACTATCCAGGCCGTAAATATACAAGTATTTGTAAGACACTTTATTCAAAACTCATTAGTTACCATGTCTATATTCATTGCTACTTTAATTTTGGTTTATTTGGATCATTAAGATTCGCATAACATTTGCGCTTTGTAATAAAACTATCTATCTATAACCAATTTGGCTCACATAATTTTATTATTTATTTATTTGGACACATAAATATTGGTACAAAGGGGCACCGAATACATATGCACCACACAAGTTACTTGATTTGTGTATAGGCCGTGATATTGCCCGGGTGCCCAGACCTAAGCAGGTGGTTTTCTTAGGGGGCCACACACAGAGCCTTCGACCTAAAGGTCTGGTCCATAAGGCAATGGAGCAACGTCAAGAGATGCAATTCCATGGTAGCCAGTGACCAATAGTTGGTTCCTTCAGGATACTGGAGCTCATGTGCACCATTGGTTTGGAATCAGGACTTCTCAACTCCCCCAGGTGGATCCTCCATATTCACTAATAGGTTAGTGTTTTTACATATCACGTCTGAGATGAATGTATCGGCTCGAGGAAAACAACAAACATAAACGAAAGCATGGGTCTCATACTCGACCCAAACCCATAAAGTGTGACCATTTATTTGAAGATCAGTGAACAGAAGTTACGACTTTTAATCACGAATTTTCAAGTATGAACTTTGCTCCGCTAACCTGTTTGGGAAAAACAATGGTGGCAGTACCCTTTATATGAATCTGACTTAAACTTAAGTGGAATAAGTTAAGAGTGGTCATTAAAAAAATGCTAACTATTGCAAACCCTAATATGGATATTAATAAAGGATTACCAAGACACCCAAATACTTCGAAATCCATGATCGCTTTGTTTTGTTTTTTTGTGTTGAATTTATGTTGGAATGATATCAGTAAGTATACTTGAATAATATGGATATATATATATATGTTAATTCTATCGAAGCGTCCAAGTAACCCCGATTGAGATACGCGCAAAATCGAAGTTCCGAAACAACGATTTGTCTACAAAAGCGGTTCTTTATTAAATAATACACAAAATTTAGTTACAAACCTCAACTTGTGAGGTGTCTAGGCGTTTAAACGCGTCGTTCAAGAATGAAAATAGCAAAGGCTTCCTGTAAGAGTAACATAAAGAATGATTATAACATACGATAGTCCAAAGACAGCAGATAGCTGTGTCTAAATTTGATAACAGTTTATGAACAACCGAAACTCGAACCAAGAGCAAACAATATGGAAACTGTTGAGTTTAAACAAATGCATAAAACTGTGGATAACCGTTACAGTAATTAAATTACAGTGATTATAATGATAAATACAATGATAAGTAAAATAAACGTTAAAGATATATGTGAACATTTCAGAATGTTACAGTACAACCTGAGTTACAACATAATTGTGAAAATTGTTGGGCATACAACTGCTTACTGAATATAAATAAGTAGTATAAACCAACATACAAAAGAGTAGAAAAGGAATGAGCAGGAACAATGTAAAACAAATATATATATATATATATATATATATATATATGGAGAGAGATTTTCGGTATTGCCACCTAACGTCATGAAATGATCACTGTGTATATTCAAAAAACAATGAACAACTCAGTCAATTCGTGTGATATCAACTCAAATGTTTCGTTTCCTGTCCTAGTAGGCGGGATTTTTATAGACAGCTGATGTACACACAGATTCAACTTACTACCGTTGTGAAAGTTTATTGCGTTTTAATTTGAGCAAGGGTATTACCTTCTCTGTTAAAGATAAAGTTTTGCTGTTATCATGTCGAATACTAGAAAACCTTCCGTTCACCTGTTACTTTACGGAATGCGAAAAACACGACTCAGTACGACTTTTTGTATCCTTACTGATGTCACGCTAAAAAGATTATACACATGTTTGATGCCACAAACAATTTTTATTAATTACCCTAGTAAGAACGGTGAAAAGTTATGTAAAAAAGTAACAAAATTGCATGGCATGGAAGATATATGGGGATGGTAATTAAATTAATATAATTAAAGCAAATATTACTAAAATAGTTATCACCTTTTGGAATATTCAGAAAGACGTGGATCAATAGTATTAGACTCAGAAAGATGCAATTGTTTAGGTTCAACCAAAGTTAAAACAGTCGCAATATTTTTTTCCAGCCACGGAAGGACATTGGGTGAGGACCAAAGAGGATGCATGCGAGCGACATATAGACTTAGTAAACAACCAAGACTATCTGATTCGCTTATAAAAATAAAACGAAACAAGAGAGTACGGCATTCAGTAATAAAAACTCTCAACAACACTACATTAATATTAATGTATCGAGGTAGGACCATGTTGGATTCATCGAATTCCTTCGGACTTAATTTAGTCAGTCGTAATCCAGAGCCTGGTACGTGGTGGTCATAGCGATCTAGGATCGTGACCGCAGAGCCCAAGGTACAACTGCTTGAGGCTAGTCGCTCACCGCCTTTAAATGGGAGGTTTTTTATGTTTAAGCTACGTACTTAAAAACGCCATGCCACCGGAGACGGACACCCGTAGGATAAGGTGTGACATTTTTAGGGTTGAATTTTTCCAACTCCTTCCTTCCGTTGTGAGAAGGTAGATGGTTGTCTGTGGAAGCACCTCACTGCTGTCATACTCCTCTAAAGTCAGCAGTACGACTTCATCCTCGGGCCTAAAGTTGCTGCTTTTAGTCTCACCGTTCTTCAACTGACCTACCTGGCATGGTGAGACATAAAGCGACATGTGTTTCAGCCAATATAACAGCTGAGTCATCACGATAGGCAATCACGACCACCACGTCAAGGAGCAGCTACGGTCGGGGAACTTGAATGTTCAGAAATATAATCACTTAAAATACGATACCAGAAATATTCTCATGTACTATTCAGAATAAATGTAGATGCAGGTAATTAAGAATATATCGTTTATGACCGAATCAGACATATGAAGCTTGTTATTTATTGATGACGCCAAAAATTACTGAATATGCGATAGCTGACTAAATTGTAATAGTTACTACATATTTCATGTTTTAGGATCAAAACGAACGTCCATATGGCGTTATTCCTCACAAAATTGATAATTCATCCTTAAGTTGGAACCGAAATAGAAGGCTCCTAAAATATGACAAGACGCTTATCATGGAGATTCCTTAAAGTATATATGGATACTAAGTTAATAATGGCAACATAGTTGAAAAATGCTCAGATACAGCACTACATAATGAGACTGTAGTTATAGGCCAAAAATATTGCGGAGGATAGTTAATAATAAGACAACTTTTACGTCGTCTAAATTTCATTCTAAGAATTTACTTAATGAACTGATGATGTACCAAAGGTCGAATGGTGAGGCAGTAAGCAGTTAGTAATATATATGGTTTTGATTAGAAATTCTAACCAAAAAGGTGTATAAGAAATATCGTATGAGTGATGCTTACATTACTTGCAAAACACTTGATTAACTAATAATGGTTATCAATTAGATAAGGGGTTACAAATTTATTAACAATGCATCAATGTATTATTAATCAAACGTACCTCAATAGAACTTCTTTTCCAAAAAGGATAGATTTTTCAAGATTTGTAATACCCCCAATACTTGTATGTTTAAGTAAGCGCGACACAAATCCGGGAAACATGATTAAAGCATCTTGCAACTAAAAGGTACAAATGTATGCAGCTAAAATTGATTACGTAACAGACACAGAAACGATATTCGTTTTATCAGATTAGTTAATCTTTGTAACGGAAAAAATCACTGTATACAGAAGTGAGTTGATGTAAAAAATCATGAAACAAAAGCATGGAATATTAACAAATAGGACCAACTAGTTTACAACTTTTCATCAAAATTCATAGGACATTGGAAAAAGTTTCATGAACACTGGAGCGACGACACAAAATGAGTCCCGGATAGCAAATAAAACCATATTCATCAGTCCACAAATTACTAACTACTGACTTCAGCAAAAAAGGTCTATTTAAGTTTTCAGCGAAGCTTGGAGTGAGCTCAACAACGAAACTTACTTCCAATTGCATAGCTATAGAAAACTTTAGATTGATAAATACACTGAGTACTAATAAATCAAATTGTTTCTGCCATTCTTGCATTTCTTATAAAATGAGAAACCATTCACTAACCTAATCCAAACTTAGAATGATGCATTGGAATTTACAAAAAAATGTAAACCGATAATTGGTAGCGAACAAAGTTTTCAGCTAGATAAGACATAAAAAGTGTGTGATCAAACCGTTAACTTATCTTGACATATGATTTCAGTGATGCCAATCGACACAATTTGAATAAAATGAACTAATGTCTGAATAGCTTCACATCAGTTCTTTCAATTCAAACTTTTAAATAACGATGGAACCTTACACAAATACTAATATGGTGATAAATCTTAAACGAAGACAGATTTAAAGTATTAAGTATTTATATACCTAAAAAATGTCATTGAATATTTTAGACATATCCATGAGAATGATGAAATAACTAATCGAATTGTTTACCTAAAATCCTAATAAATGAGTAGTAAGTAGATAAAAATGGCAATCTTGGAGCAGTAATTCATAACAGTCACAAAATAGGTTCCAAAAAAAGGATATTGACCAACTAACAATATGCCACTATTAATATGAAGATAAGAATTTTTGCTGTGAATTGATTAGATTGACGGTTTTTTGACAGAATAAACTAAGTAATTTATTTAAAATAATTGCTATGAACGAATGAGAGGTAAAACATAGTAAAAATGTTTTAAAGAAACTATTCAGGCTTATTTTTGGAGGCAAACATAATAGGGAGAAGCTATGACAAATTAAATTTATAATTAATCAACTAATACATTAAGAAACCTGTATATCAATGGAAATCAAACATACACACTTACAGATTCATCCACACTCATCTTGTTTCCATCACATTTCTCTGGATCTTCACCAATTAACTTACGAGCCAATGGTATGGATAAACCAAAATTGGGAAGCAAGTACAAGTTGCGCGAACCCTTTAAGTAGGCAGTAGAAACGTTGGACACGGTTTAATTTCTTCAAAAATAAACATTAGGTTGCAATTTTTAAATCAATTAAATTCAAATTTCTAACCCTACGTAATTAAAAATCCGCAAGACAATGCACAATAAATTTCGAATAATTAAGTGAACGACATGATTAGGGATAGTATATTACAAACAATGCTTTATCTGTACGCTATATAGAATATACCAATTAATACAGAATAGATATGTTTCAGGCACCAATGATTGCTCACAAATTTTTCAAGTTAAGGGTGTATTCGGTTACCTAATAAAACTTATCTGAAAGAGTAGTTTGAAAACTAGCAAGACAACCTAGAATCCATAATAACATTACCTAATTATTACCTCGTCAGAGAACAAAAATACAAAAAATTGATGAACCTATGACGGCAGTGAATCAGAAGTTCACATCAAACCTACAAACATGAAGGAGAGGATTCAAGCGTGAAAAATATAGGTCACATATAAGATCAGTACAAAGCTTATTGATAGGTGGACTGCAATAAAATAATTGATACTGAGTTGTTGTCTGAAATATACATCAAATGGTTTAAGTGAAACTCGCAATCAAAACTACAGGAAAGTGGAAAAAACTTGGAAAATGATCAGAATTTTGATGTCAGTTAGAGGATTAAGCAACACAGTCGTATGTCCACCCTTCATTACAAGATAATGAGTAAATACGTATACAAAAACGCGATAAACACTGGGTCAACTCAAATAACACATAACAATCAACAAGCTCTACCATCTTAACTAAAGAGAAATGAATCCAAATAAACTTTCTAAAAATGTACCTTAAGCCATTCTGTAGACGGTGATATGCGATAAGTACCTTTAAAAATGTAGACTATTAAAGGCAGTTATCTGGTGTTCGAGAGCTGAAAGTACAAAGCTTTAAGTCATGTAGTTCTGCTTCATGTTCACTCGATCTCTGCATCACATAGACGCTGTCCTACTGGTACTTATGTCGCAGTTTTTTAACAGTGATGCATGCAAGAATTAAGGTTATCTACATCTGTCTTGTGTGACTGATATTTTTGTACTGATAACTTTTTTCATTCTTTCGATCTTCAGAGCTATGAATCATGTCTAGAGTATATTTTTATGTTCACTAGATGCAGACTGCTTTTTAAATAATAGTAGTAGGCAAAAAACAAATCAAAACTACTAGCAATAATCAAAAGTGAAAAATATCCTAATAAAATAAGCTTATCATTTTGGAACTTACATTTAGGCTATCATATAAATCAATTAGGAAACTATACTGCCTGGAGTAAATAGCATAGCGATCTATCATGAGTAGGACTGTCAAAGGATCATCTTCATAATCAAGACTACAATATAAAAACGAATTAATTTATGTCATTTCACAATCTATAGGCTGATATATTACAAAATTTAATAATTTCATTTGTCAAAACTGTAACAAGAAAATTTACAGAAAATTTTATACACAGAACTTTTTCATAAAAACTAAATCATTGTTGCTTTTATCATGTTTTGATATCAAGTGTACCAACCTAAACCAATGCATTATTGTACAAAACCTCAATCCTTTTTCCGTCTATTCGTACGGAAAATAACCGATAAAACACTTCACTTCAATCAGCAATCGTATAATAATTTCCTTACGACAGTCTATATCATTAACTCTAAGGATGCTGTTCAGATGATAAAATATAAATGGTTGAATAATTTCGCAACCAACATGAGCAAGCTACTTGTTGACCAAGCACTACAACAGGCATTTAAATTACTACACTACATCTTAGGGATTGGGAATGATTTCTTGTTGGCGTCAGTAAAATAGTATTGGACCACAACCATGACCGGAAAGCAAACCAAAATGTTTCTTTCATACTTAGATGCAAGCCAAATGTTATAATTTTCAGACGTCACTAAGGTCAAATAAGCATAAAATACAGTGACCTTTCAATTTTAGGAAGCAGTGATATTTGCGTTCACTATAAGAGAGACAAAGGTGAAGTTATATACATTCCAATACACAGAAAACTACTCTATGCTTGTAAAGCTACATAAAATATCTAAAGTAATATTAGGTATATAGAAAGCTTTAATGAATATAAAAGGTTTCAGATAGTCTATGTAGTAACAAATCTGTTTCCAAGTAAATTATTCTTTATCTATGCCGAAAATATGATTATACTGCCACTGTGAATTGAATTATTTAAACAAGCTAGGATTTTTAATTCATGATCGCTTAAACGTTCTAGTTGAATGAACCTAACTAATTTACTAGGTGCAGATTCGTAGACTTGGCTTCCAGCTACACGCTAAGTGTGAGGGCTGACTGCCAGAAGGAAAAAATGAAGGGGGCGGAATTGGGTTTGAACCTGGGAATTGATGGTCGAAAGTTACAGATTGAATACTTATGAATAAAAGTCTAACGGTACAATCGGATGTTTTTAGGACGATTAAATTACAAAAATACAACGTATTGTGGAAAAGTCAACTGTAAGATAGTACACTGACTATATATTGACTGAATCCTAGTGCTTTTCAAGTGTTCCGACCAAAGAAGCAAGTTAGATAGCCACGTATGATAAAAGTCGATGAGCTCACACGGTCACGGCAGCAAGATGTCACCACACCAGTCACTTACTCAACCTGGCTCACAACTATTGTCTTCATAGAGAAGCTAAACGGATCGTTGATAATCTGTGCTGACATTTTAACGGATCTTCACAACATTATCACTATCCTCTCTTAGCAAAGGATGACCTATTTAAAATTCCTAATGGTAGATTTTATTTCGTAAGACTTTACCAAGAAAACTTATACTGACTGGAAGATATTGCTTCACAATACCAGTCAGTCAGCTACAACGAAGGACCAGGGACATATATGTATCGGTTTTACTGACTATAAAGGTACACTATGGTGTATCCAGGATACCCAAATGAAAACTGCAGCTGATAGACACTATTTAATTTGATATTCTGAGTATATTAGTCTCTTGATGGTTTCGAAAATCGCCGTTAGACCTTCGTAGTAAAGTGAAAGCAGTAATAAAATGGATCTTCGACAATAGGTTCAGACCCCGCTATTAAGTATCAATTTTTTAAGGCATTGAAAAAACTATATTTTATTTTCTACCCCTATAAACGCCAACTGGACCCTAAAAGCTTGGGTTATTCAACAAATGACAGGACCTAAAGATATGTTTTCATTTAGATCCTTTCTCAAATACAAGTCAGCTCTCACGCCATCTTTTCACTACATTGTCCACTGAACTACCTGCTTGGGAAGGATGTACCATGGGACTGGACTAAAGAATAAGAATCAGATACTTTCAAGTCGACTACAGTTATAATATTACTCCCGGTTATTTTGCTTGATATCTTCAGTTTACTGACACACGAAGAGACTCAAGTAGCATGAACATTTAAACCAGATTTAAGAGCAAGGTGGGATAGACGCTGGAGGAAGACGGTATACTTTTGGGTAAACCCAAGAGTAGTTTGCAATGATTAAGGAAGGGATATTGGAGATAATAAATCCCCGAATACAGGGCATCAGAAATAAATCAGTTGTAATGTCTTACATTGATTTAGGGTGATTTCCTTTCATTTGACTTCTGTTCAGTATCAGATTTAATTGTATTAATTTTGTGTGACAATTTTGTTAACTAATAATCACTAAACCCAATTTGTATATAATGGAATGAGTTCGAGTGTGAATTATTCTTCAGTCATCATTAAATAAAACTCCCAAACAATATTTGTCTTCTGCAATAACCAGGGCTAGAGTTGTGGCATCCAGTTAACGAAATGTAGTTAAGGGCTATCGCTTTTATCACAATTATACTGGGTATATGCCTTAAAGGTATGTTCCTTGCACTTCAGACTAAGCAATTGTAAGAAAAACACAAGTAATTCGTTTTATTTCGGTGTAGTAGTAGTAGTACAAGTAAATTGTTCATGTTATTCATGTTCATTGCTCTCGCTCGCTCGCTTGCCTTTCGGCACAACTCTTCTATGCTTGTTTAACGCATCTGTAATTTTGGATATCTGTGTGTGGTCCCGTAATAAACGTAATCAGCACTTCGTATTCGCCTTCTGATTAATATACCGTTGGGGCGTTATATAGGACGGTTATCAAGACGAACTGTATACGAATTTTAAGGATTATATCGAATACCGACCACCACAAAATCACTGCCCCCCTGAATGCCCTGGTACGGCCGAGAATGGGGAGAGTCCGCTCTCCCTCTCGAAATACTCTCACACGGCCACGCGTATACAGCCTCTGCCAGGGAAGTCCTACTCATTGCCTTCTCGTGGCGGGGGTGTTGTTTACGAAAATGAGAGGACGAAAAGCGAATGTCCGGCGCTTTAACCGGATTCCAAATCAATGGTGCACATGGGCTCCAGTATCCTGCGGGGACAAATGGCGTATGAACCAATCGTTGGTCACCGGCTACCATGGGACTGCATCTCCTTACGATGCTCCACTGCCTTGTGGGTTAGACCTTTAGGTCAAAGGCTCGGGGAGTGGCTCCCTAAGATAACCACCTGCTTCGGTTTGGGCACCCGGGCAGTATCACAGCCCACACACAAATTGATGAACTCTTTATGCCTATGGAAATTACCTTTCTCGCTTTGAAAAAACAAAATCACTGTGAAATTCGGAGCTCATAAACCACTTCAAATAGGCGTCGATACACAAAAGTACATAAAATCCGAGTATAAAATAATCACTACTCCATTAGCTGACATATGGCAAGTATTATTGCAGATTACTATAAAGTAGCATAGAAAGATTATCAGGCATAGAATCTGATTACACGTAAAACAAAGTTAAATAAGGATAATGTTGGTGAACGAACATCACTTATAGCGAATAAAAATTTTATGTTCTATCGGCTGCCAAATAAATCCCTAGGAGAACCGATTTTAAAGCAGTTCGGAATTTCGAATACTTCCCATGGTGATTAAAGCGAAAATTATTCCATAGTTATATGGACTCTTGATGAGAGTCCAAGCAGAAAGTACAAATATGTTTCACAGCTGTGTTTTATTTCTAGGAAAAAAATAACACAACTCTCAATAAGACTATTCCTTTCATTTTTAGTACTGACCAACAATCATATGCAGCTTTTCATAACGGAAATGTGAAATTAAAACAAATTTGGGTACACTCGATCGATATGCCTGTTTAATCACCGAAACAGCTCTTGAACAGTTGAAATATGCCTTGATTTAACCTGTATATTAAAGCTGTCTCAATAACAGTTAATTAAAAAGCATCAAATGACATTGCAAATAGATATTTTCTTAATCAATTAGCGAACTACGAAGTACTTACCTTAACAATAATTTGCAATATTCCAGTGCACTTCGATGACAGCCCCGTTCACTAATTTTCAAGATATAGCGGAAAAGTGCTACAAACAAACCACTTTAGTATTAAGAACACAATAATCACCAGCAAAACTCACCGATTGACTTGACGCTTAAAGTCTAGACGACAAGAACCATTGAATGGATTAAAGGATGGATGGAAAGCTGATTGGAAAGCATGGAGTGCGCGCTCTAAAAAATGACATTATTCAACTAGTTTAACTTCGCTCACCCAGAAGATCAGTACCTACAGTCGTATCTTCCTGGTGCATCATTATTTCGCTCAATTGTAGTAAAGAATCTATGTGATAAGGATTTTCATATAATATACTCTGTGGAGAAACTTATAAGACAAAATTCATTCTTACACTCAAATTATTTGGATTCATGGATTCTAAAGCATTGTAAAATGACCTCTGGATATTTTGATATTCTTTACTGTGTACGAAAGTATATGAACCGCAACCCAAAGGTTCCATACTCAAGCCAATTCGAACAGTAGGTGGCCAAGTGGACTTGATCGATACAAGCATACCACGTTTGACGCGACTTCGTTTTCTTCGTAAATATGTTTCGGACCCACCGATGACTTCTGATCCAAACAAACGACTAAGTTCTCCAACATGATCTAGCATCTTGATATTTACTTTTAGCAAATCTATCACTTGTTTATTTCGATCAGCAATCCCTGAGTCATTTGGAAGTTTTATATTATCTAATTGGTAGGTTATTCCAGTTTTCTGAAGAAAACACGGAATATCATTAAAAGGCAACTTACGTCCTTTTGCTTACTTTTTTTCTTTTTCCGCTTTTTGGATTTAAAAGGTTCACAATGATCATGAGGATTCTCATCAGCGGAAGGAGTGGTTATCACTGTGGGGAAAAACAACTACTGAACTAATATTATGGTAACTGATATGACTGAAAAGCTCACTTCGGAGAAAACAGAACCTCTGGTGATGGGATCGTCATTATCACTAAAATTATTATTGTCATCGAGCGAATTTTCAGAACCTTTCTTCAGTTTACGTAATACTCGGGAAGACATTACGATCAAATAACAAAAAAACTAGAGGTAAAAGTAGCAGTAAAAAGATAAATCAAATATATAAGGAATTTTGACTGCTTAGCAAAAGTAACTATGTAACTGATATGATGGGAAGAAAAATCAATTTTCGATTGATTTACTCATTGTGAGTTTTATTCAACATTACATCGATTTTAATTCAATGTGATGATCATTCACTGTATTATTTGTTTTCTTTTGTCGTATGATATTTTATTCTGTATAATGTACGATAATCTTGTATTACATTGACATGAACTATGCTCAGTCTGTGATTTGTTATAACTAAGTATTTTTCATACATGTGATTTCATCCTAATTATTAATCAAAGTGTGTGTACAATCAATATATAAATGAGTGCATTTTCGACTAGAGTTGTTGTCGTCGTGTTTTGGGGCTGATAAATCTTCACTTATACCAGTCTTGTGTTCTTACTTCGCATCGTGGGAACTGCAGGGGTCCCTCGTTCCGAGTATAAGTGGTCAGCACTTTTTCCGGCACAACAATTGCGACGACCGAACATAACAGTAACCACAAACAAACTATCCAACCTTACTAATTGCTTGTATTTGGATACTCAATAAAGCAACTGAATTTCCTCCTACAGTGACTCCAGCTATACCTTATGGCTTGTCTCTGAATAGCCCAGTTTGGAGTCCAGAATCATGTAAGACTTTGGTGGACTTACCTTGAATACAAAGATGTCTTTTAACATCTCAAAGTCCTGTGACAAATCTAAACAATGGAAATTAAGTTGATAGTAATCCTTTTTAACAAATGATGCGAATGAGTCATCTAGATTCATCCGACCCGACCGTTGCTGCACCTTGACGTGGTGGTCGGACTTGCCCATCGTGATAAACCGATCGAGCCATACTGGCTGAAACAACCGTTCCTCAAGGTCCTACCATGTCAGAAAGGTCGGTTGAAGAGCGGTAAGACTAACTGAAGCGAACCCAAGTTCCGAAGGCGAAGCCATACTGCTGACTGTACAGATGTGTGATAGCAGTAAGGTGTTTCCTTCGGACAACCAGCATAACAGCGATGTTGCCTTCCTTCAAGGGGATGCGGGGTTAAAAAAGTTCGACCCTAAAAATGCACACCTCGCCTTACCCCACGAATTTCCGTCTCCGATAATAAGGGCTCAACAAGTACGGAGCTAACATGAAAATTACTCAAAAGGAGGTCGTGTGTGATCGACCTCAACCAGTTGTCCCTTGGGCACTGCGGTCACGCTCTCAGGTCACTATGACCACCTCTAACACAATTTCCTTTTCAGGTACCTCCAGAAGAACCCTTACAAAGTGTGAGCAACCACGAAGTGATAACCGCCCTCATACCTCTAACAGAACTCAAGATCACTGTATTCATAATCAACCTCTCTCTTCAATTCCTATTACTCCTCCTATATCGACTTTCAACTCTAAACTTCCTCTTTTGGCTTCCTCCTCAAGTGTCACCATAGCCAACGATTTTAGTGCGCAAAACACTGTCCCAGGTCTACTGAAACCTCTCTCCAAACTACACATTGGAGCCTTCAACGTACGTACTCTATGTCAAATCATTCACCAGGCCTCCTTGGCTAAAACCCTAGAATCTCGTACCATTGATGTATACTGTGTCTCCGAAACACATATACAGGATCCCAGTGTGGTCATTCACTTGACCTCACATCGACAAAAAGGGAAAGCCGACGAGATACACCTTACATGTACCTGGCGACCAGATGGTTAGTTCTCGTGGACTGGTGGGTGTAGGCATAGCACTAAGTATGAGGGCGGAACAAGCACTACTAGTGTGGATCCCCGTTAACAGTCGTCTATGTGCTGTTCGGCTAAACGGCTCCGTAAGAACTCGGAAGGACAGGGACACACGTCGTTACCTTTTCGTCATTTCTGCCTATGCTCTCACCGACTGCAGCACGGATGAAGTAAAAGATGAATTTTACAGAAAGCTCTCTGAACTTCTTCAGAAAGCTAAACGTTCAGACATAGAACTCGTAGACGGTGACTTCAATGCCCGGATAGGTAGCACAAACCAAAAAGAAAGACATTTAGGTGGGTATTTTGATATTCCGGCTCAGAGAACAGATAATGGTGATCATCTGCTGCAACTGTGCTCAGATAATCGGTTATTATTAGCAAACACGAATTTCAAGCATAAAGAGAGACATCGTCTAACATGGCAACGCCCTACACCAAATCAACGACGGACTTAAATAGACCATACTGACATCAGTCATCGTTGAAGCTCGATAGAAGTAGGTCTCCCAAATCTAGCTGAAGTTCAAAAGGCTATAGTTAATCTGAAATGGGGAAGGGCAGCTGGTCCAGATAGATTGGCTCTAGAGGTCTTTAAGTACGGTGGTCCGGTTTTGGTGATTAAGTTGACTAATATTTTAGCTAAAATCTGGGGGTTGGACGTTATCCCATCTGACTGGTCACAATCACTGATCGTCCCAATATATAAGAGAGGGTTAAAATCATCCTGTGACAACCATAGAAGGATTAGTATGACTAACATAACATCTAAAATACTAGCGCCAATAATTGTCGGTCGCCTAACTAAGACTCGTGAACTGCAAACACGAGAAAATCAGGCTGGCTTCAGACCTGGTCGTGGCTGCATCGATCACATATTCACCATTCGTCAGGTTCTAGAACATAGACAGTGTCTGTCATTGAAAGACGTACCTCAGAAGTAAATAAACCTTGTGAAGGCTCATTACTCGAACACTACTAGTCGAGTCAGAGCCTATGGCGAACTGTCACCTGCTTTCGCAACATCAAGTGGTGTCCGACAAGGCTGTCCACTATCTCCACTTTTGTTTAACTTCATCATAAACCTACTTCTGGAAATAATGCTCTCGTCGACTGAATTCTTGGGCATTGATCTCCTTCCAGGATGTTTATTTATCGAATTAGAATGCGCAGATGATATAGTCCTGTTTGGTGAAGACGCTTTTGATAACACTGGGCAACAATGCCAGAATTTTCGGGATGCGCTTCTCTCCCTCGAAATGCAAGTTGTTGCTTCAGGACTGGCCTGCGTCAACACCTGAACTACGGATAGGGAGTAAAGTAGTCCGAAGCATCGACAACTTCACTTATCTTGGAAGCCTGATCAGCCTTAATGGGTTGGTGTGACGACACCTTTGTACAGATTCAAAAAGCTCGTTTGGCTTTTGCCAACTTACGTCACCTATGGCGAAGGCGAGATATCCGTCAACCAATAAAGGGACGAATATACTGTGCAGCAGTTCGTTCTGTTCTACTTTATGGCTGCGAAACATGGCGTTTGAGAGAAGATACTCGTAAGCTACTAGTATTTGACCACAGATGCCTTAGAAAAACTGCTCGTATATGCTAGGACCACTGGGTAAGTAATAGTGAAGTTAGACACAGGGTATCAGGGAATGGTGGTAAATCAGTTGATGAGGTTGTGAATCTTCATCAACTGAGATGAATGGGTCACGTGTTACGCATGCCTGAACACCGATTACCACGACGCGCAATGCTAACCGGCGTTGGGGATGGTTGGAAGAAAGTCAGGGGTGGCCAAACCAAAACGTGACATCAGTGCTTGGAATCACTGACTTCTATTCTTAGCCATGCTGGTAGATGCAGAGTACCTGGCTGGGGTCCGCGTGACCATTGTAACCAATGGTTGGAGACTCTGGGTGACATGGCTCAGAATCCACAATGCTTCAGGTGTATACACTTTCAGCCTTCCCTTAAATTATGAGATTAAAATTGCTCTATATCTTTCATTCTACAAACTAATTCCTTCTCCCTATACTATATTCTTATATGTAATCTTTTTTTATATATTACTACTACCATGAATTTGGTGTTCATATGGTTGTGCTAATGAGGTATGGCAACTTGGACCGATGCATATGTGCCTGGTCCTACGTTGTAGCTGACTAACTGATTAATCGGAGTGTCAAAAATTTAGTTTGGGGGATAACCCATTCGTCAATGCAGACTGACAACTTAATATTGAAAAACTGATAAGCCGGAGTACTACGAATTATATGTGTAGCTGAATGAATGAACTCAAAAGATGTAATTACTAATCCGAGTTATAGAACCGAACAGACAGAGTAAATAACTACCAGCCGATTTTTCTTACTAACATGATTGTTAAGGTGCTAGAAAACAACATCCGAACTACGACCTTCCGCTATAAGGAGGGAAAGAACCTATCAGGCGGGAAACAGCCTTATTTCTTACTTTTACTTGACAGGTTACAAGATTGAGCCTCAACTAAATAATAGAAGCATACGATTAAGGGCCATGTTTACGTTTTTGACAAAGGTTTTAGTGAAGCTAGAGTTACGGGATCTAACACGAAATTATAGAACCGACAGATTCATCTTTTATGGTAGACTGATGACTAATGGTACTCCTTTTTAAGGAAACCATAGAAAATTAGAGTACCGAAAGGAACTATTTTCGTTACACTCGACAGCCGTTTATCTTATCATTTAAGAACGTTAACGTATGCAAAGTTCTACTCTCTGGTTGAACAGAAAAACTAGCGTTATTAAAAGTGGATGCTAGTAA